TTCTGTCACTATTTCTCTATGAATATTGATTTCTATGCTGTTCAGGTGCAAAAAGAGTCTTTGAAAGAGCACACCAAGGAGGAGATAAAATGGTTTGAATCTGTACACCACTTCCTGTCACTTCCACAATTCCTCTGCAGAATCTTCAACACTTCAGATGTAGAAAGTGCCCTAATTTGTTGAAAAAGAAGCTTTTGTGGTGCAAATATTTGAAATATTTTAAGACTTCCAATTCCTAAACTCTTCCGTGAAGTTGTACACCACTTCTGATCAAAATATCTGCCCCTTGGAGCTCAAAAAAACCCCCTTTATTCACTCAAAACCAAATTAAATTGACTGTAATCGTCCGAGATGTATTCACCTATTCATAGTGTTCCGCTTCGCTGCTTTTCCTGCAAACCTGACGCTTTCGGGGTGAATTCCTTGATTGCAAAAGATTGTGCATCTGGCAAAAATCTTGCATGAGATGCCAAAAAAGATTTAATAAGCTCCGCGCTGTGGTGGATTTGTCCTCAACTGGCGAGGCTGAAAGAAGTCCTTCTCGGGCGGGTGACATGAGACAGCGCGACAGAAGAACAATGATGACAAATTGAATTGAATAAAATGTTGGAGTCACTCTGTTGGAGGGAATTTGACTGTGGCGCACAGTGTTAATGAGTTCACTGTGCTGAATTTCCCTCCGCTTTCCTTTCGCCCACCCACTCTGCCTGGGAAAAAGCTGCTCTTTTGTTCACCCTTCGTGGGAGTGTGGCTTAAAACTATCTCGGGGAATTATTTCCTCGCTTTAATTTAGTATCATCTTATTAAAATTTAATTGTTCGCAGTGTCTCTCTCTCTCTGTGCCACGTTAATTTCCAGTCATCTACAAATTATAAGTGCGCAAGAGACGACGATGCGGAGTCCGGACAGTGCTGAATCCACCATTTGGCGAATGTTCCTGATCTTTTCCATTCATACATTCAATTTGCTCGTTTGTCTCACACCGCCGCCGCCCCCCAAAAGAGTGGTGACTTGAATTAAGAACTCTCGCCAGTCTTTCTTCCCCCCCCCAAACCATATAATCCAACTACTTGAGCGGCATCCTCACAGCGGAAATGCAAAGAAGTGTGTAATTGTTCTCCACTAATGAAGCAGAATTAAATTGAGGCTAATTATGTGCAATGAATGAACTCAGGATCTTCCTCATTTCCTCTCACCAGAGCGCGCTCGTCGTAAATTTTGACTTTAGCCAGGGTTGCGAGGAAAAATCTCATTTCGACAATTTCGGGGCTTTCCCTGAGCTGCGTAATCCACTTCCTGGCAGTTGCCACACATTCTCCCACACCCCCCAAATCCGCCCTGGCAAATTACATCCCCGGAGCTGTGATTTGGAGCTGTGATTGAAAATGTAGGGAATGGCTGGAAAATGAAAAATGTACGAAACATAACATGTCATAAATACGTGCTGAATATGTTGAGCTCTCGCTGGGTTGGGCTGAGCGAGATGGAAGAGTTAGTAGGTGAACTGAGGGCAGCATAAACAATGTCTAAGTGTATATTTTGATGATTTATCGCTGAAAACTTAACACCCCAGGACTAAACACACTCCACCGCCCCCACCATCAACGGGGTCACATCTTGTGAGCACAATCCCTATCCGGAGTCGCCTCTTTTTTGGCCCACCAGCGCTCACAGTGCCGACAGTGGAGAGCACACGGCGAGGAACACGAGGATTAGTTTCAAAATGCGCTGGAAATTCCCCGGTGAACCACATAAGTTTGAAAAAAGCAGGTATTTCAGCTAAAAAGTGCTAAGATTTTAGCAAATCTCGAAATGAAAGTTCAGCGATCGCAGCGGACGATGGAATAAACTCAAAAGTGTTGCAACAGCAACTGGAAGTTTCCTTGAAATAGGAAGTTAAGGATGCCGCATTTTATATGATTAACTTGTGTGTTGTTATCACGAAGTATAATATTGAAGAGGAACGGCTTTGTATGATGCGACATCTATGTATTTAAGTGCCACATCAGTACTTTGACTGTTCACCGCCACGATCGCTAGTTCTTCTACGCAATGGCTAAGATCTTAGCAAAAGAAAGCTAAAAAATTAGCTTTTTAAATCTCAACTGTGAGCAGTTTAGCGATTTTTGTTCACTGTGTCTATTAATCTAACTGGGATGGTTGATTTTTGCTACACTCAACATTTTTTCAGAAATAACTCAATAGTGATTAAAAATGAGAAGCTTTAACATGACATAAACTTCATGTTTGAATAATTTTGTGGAGAAGTATTTTAATCTGGCTGTGCAAAGCAAGCATGCTGTTTGTGCTGTATTATTTAATATCCATCAAAGTGTCACTTGAAATTTGCTGCTGACTGTTGAATCCGAACAAGTTCCGAGAGTCTTTCCACTACAACTAACTCCCATGGAGGCGAGGGATGGCGTTTCATTGGGTCAGTGGATGTTAATAGTTAGGCTGCAGCTGAAGAAGTGCGACGGGAGAGAAGTCAGCCATAAGCTTTCGGCGCTGTCCGGGAGGGGGCAGGAGGTCGAGAGTCTCGAACACGGACGTTGAATTTTATATGACTGGACCAGATGGAGTGTTGTTAAGTGGAGGCTCACGAGTGAAATCCAACAAAAGCCGCCCCGAGAGCGAGCATTGAGACAGAAACCATGGGAATAAATATGACTAACAAGTTGCTATAACGGCGAAAGGGTGGGAATTGTGAAATTTGACCCAATGAGTGAAAATGGTCAAAGATTTATTTAAGATTCAGCACTGACTCCTTGGGAAAGCCTCTCCACCACCGTAAAGCACCCTCTCGCACACATAAAACCATCCAATTTGTGAGGCCATGAACATTACAAATGAGGAAAAGCCGTGGACCAGGCATTTTACCATAATTAATCAGTTCCAACGGCAGCACACTGAATATGTAACATTTGGCAGGCAACGAAGATGCTCTATGGTGTCGAAAATAACTCAGTTAATCCCCATTTTGCCGCCATCGTAGTGTGGAATTTCACGTGTTAAACCCCATAAATCCTACCCAATGCAATTCTCATGACCCCAAAATGAACCCTCCCAAATTTCAGGGGATTCAGGGTGTGAAGACAATAAGGATGTCTCGGCGAAATTCCAAATTAATACACTTTTCGCCAAACCTTGGGAGTATTGTGAGAACAGAACTTTTGCACACAGCAAAAGAATATGTTTTTAACTATTTTGCTCACTGAAAATGTCGCAATTAATTCAACACAAGTGCTTCACCATCGCACTTTCAGCACCCTTTGTACTTTCTCCTTTTTAATCTGTCACTATAGTCTGTAATGAAGTCATGCAGAAAGGGTAAATGATGAGCTTCCGTGCCTTTTGCACACACACATCCTTTTCTGAGTCGTAAAAGAGTCAACGACTTAAATACCCAGCATTACAGTCTGATGGTAATATATTTGTACTGGGCAAGGGGGAGATAATACAGCCAGAAGTGGTGTACAGTCAGTGGAAGTGCTCAAAAACATACAATATTCCTTCCCTGAGTGTTTCATTTACTGACTAATCATCACGATTCTCTGGATTGCTTTTGATTTATACGTAGAAATAATTAAGATAATTCTTTTCTAGGTTATGTAACGAATCATAGACAAATTTGGCAAACAATTCGCATTCTAGGACATCAATTCTTGTGCTCGAATCGCAGAAATGATCAGTTATTGGCAGAATTAGGCATTTTCATGCCATTATTCTGAATCTTTGATGCCCAAAAACACTGCAAATTGTGTTCATGTCGAACATAACCTCAATAAGACTAATGCAGACTTAGAAAATGTTCATTAAGAAGACTTTCAGAACGATTTTGACTCTAACTCGTTCTGCAGAGCTTCTGAATGGAGTCTCTGACGACTTCTAAGTGATATTTTGAGGTTATGTTCGAAAAATTCATCAAAAAATGGGTTTTAAGTGGTTTTATATAGAAATATTAATTGGAAACTTAGGAGATTCTTATTTACCAGAAGAATTAAGAAATGTTGTACAAATTAAAGGCATAATATCTCCCCCTTGGTACTGAGCTGCAAGGGGGATGTAGTGGATCAGCAAACACAGCAATCTACTTTTATCATTAAGTGAATTATTTCAGTTCACACGACATTCGAAAAGCATTAGTGAGACTTTGGAGGGAATTCATGACAATATTGGAAATGAAGTGCAGTGAAAGTTGATGGGATATTTCGCCCTTTGACCTCCGAATGGAATTAACTGCAGTTCTGACGTCTCACAATCTCAGGAAGATGCCAATAAAGAGAAAGTTGCGGCCATAAGGTGTTCAGTGGAAGTAAAGAGAATTTTTCGCTGCATTTTATGTTGCTAAAATAATAGATGGACGAACCATCTTCGGGACGGAAAGAAATTCACTCTCTCTCTCTCTGAATGTGACTTCCGGTGCTCTTCTTCAGCTCAAACTGTCCGTCGGTCCTTGTTTATTGCACAATTCCACCCACGATAGTTGCTCACTGGGAACAATGAGCGGCGTCTTGGGAAAAAGTTGCCCGAGATGGTCTTTCAGGGCGTCTGCGAGGGGTGAAATAAAAGAAGAGCATAACGCTGTAAGTGAATTATTACGGGAGGAAGGAATGGATACAGAGGGCGAGTGGTGGCATATTAGAGAAGTGTTGGAATCTCTTCAGTCAGGGACGTGACCAGAAAATCACCTGCTTTTACGGCTGCTTGCGTTCCTCCATTGCATGGCTTGAGAGAGACCATCTCATCTGGGTATAAGTTAACGCCCTTGAACGAGGTTGTTTATTAATTTTCATCTTGAAGGTCGCTTTCACGGGGATGTGCAGAAAAATCCACTTGAAAGTCTCTGTGTTGAATTTCTTGCGCTCATCTGCAAAATCTATTTTCGCCCCCAACTTTCTTCAGCACAGCACGAAGAGACAAACGGAAAACAACACTCTAGTGTAACACGATATGTGTCTTATTAAATTAACTTTCCCTGTATGTGCTTTCTTTTGCAGGAATTTCGAGCTTTCAACCTGAATTTGTGGAGCCCATCGTCAATATTTCAGTAGCTGTTGGACGAGATGCCACTTTTACATGTCACGTTCGTCATTTGGGTGGATATCGCGTAAGAAAACATGAAATTTCAATTAATTTTGCCATCACAATAAAACCTCCCCCTGCTCCCGACCTCACGCCCTTTTGTCTTAATCCGCCCCACGCCAAGATTGAGCCATTCCACTGATGAGACGTTCTTCTACATCTCATCCATACTATAAATTAATGCATCTCGCAATGTTGAGTGACTTCTTGCATTAAACCTCCGCCCAGTGATGCTGGCAAGAGAGAAATTGAGTGAGATTTATGGGAAAATTGGAGGTTGTTCACCCACAATTGGGTGAATCACAATATCCCCATAAAACATGCTGCAAGATGCTTAATATTTGCGTGGTCGATAGACCATCTGGGCGACGGTTAAAGGTGACGGACTCCCAACTATGGAGACTAGAAGTTTCTTTCCCCCCAGAAACCATGCATAATGTCATCGGCATTAAATGCATAAAAGTTTGGCGAAATAAAATTTTCAACAATATGATAATTCAAAGCCATAAACCCGCCTGTAACGTCGTCCCATAGATGTTTCATATAATTTTACAACACCTCAATATTAGGGAAATTTCTCGACCGTCGCGTGTTAAAAAGTTTCTCTGTCATCGTGTGATAAAAAAGTTGAAGATGAAGACTTCCAACACCACCATAGTTATTGCCCAGGAAGACAATTTCCCGAACACCTTCTCGCTTTCTCATTTGGCATCGGATGTAATACAACAAATACCTTCGCCAAGATGGAAAGTAATTTACAATGTTAAAAATTCATGATGCCCTTTAAGACTTTGCCAAGATGTCACGCGGAAGGATGAAGAATGGCGGAGCGAGGCAGAAAAAAAGGGAGACACAATTCCCCCTTTGAAAATCTCTTCTTGTGAACTTTTTTCTTGTCATATTTGAATATTGTTTCGTGAGTAAGATTCTTTTTAATATTCCTTAAGACATATCAAAGTTTGCATTTCTCCGTGGTCGCCATCTCTTTGGCACAGTGGAGCGGGTTGATGTGATTCCGCGAGTTAAGTTTCAAAACTGAGTAAAGCACATTTAAGTACAAAAAAGTGACGTGACAGAGGGTAGAGTGGATATAATACAAGGGGTGAGTAACTAGCGACAACATCCAGGATAATTATCATAAGTTTACCCGTTCTATTCACAATTTTCGAAAATATTGCAAGTTCAATTCAATAAACTGCATCACATGGATGCAAATTCAGAGCGTGGGCGGGGCTTACGAGTGGGCGTGGCTTCGAAATCCTTGCAGGGAATGACGGTATAATTGAATTTTAAAATTTGATCAAGCAAAGTACACTCACTCGCCCCTTAAATTGTTCTCTTTAGAGTGAAATGCAATTTTTATTAACTTTGCTTGGCATTTTCTGTCACTCCCCCTGCGAATCCCGTCATCGCCCTTACTTTTCTCGAGCTTTGCGTCGAAGATAGTATAATTCATTATCTGCATTACGTCATTCCATCATTAAAGTGTCGTATGATAATCGGATTGCCTGATCTTCATTTGTCAGACATACAACACAGATAGATGAGAGAATTGTATGAATTTTACTGGTGAATTCTTTTGTTCCCCGGATTCACAGTCAATTTCGCTGCAAAAGACGTGAACACTGTTTTGAGCACAGAAGTTAATTCCATCCTGATTGTTCCATTTTAATCATTGAATTACACGGAATATGAAATTCGCTCTCGCAACATCCAATTGTTCCCTCTGATGAGGAGATATTCAGTGTCAGTGAGTGTGTGAATTCGGCGCGAAATGAAGCCTCTGAACGCACGTGATATTGGACAAATCCTCAAATACAATCCATCAATTGATGAGATGTGGAGTTTCCTTTGAGGGCAAACACTGAGTGCCATTGAGTGTGGGGTGCAATCAATACAATTCGCCCCCTTATTATGTGTCACTCGAATATGGAGCTTCCGCAAATAGTACACCTTCTTGAGACTGTCTCTAGGAATTAATAATATTTGCTCGCGATCAATCAAACAGAAGAAGAAGTGAGATTTGTACTTCGATACACCAAAGCGACGCCCACGAAAGAAGTCTCGCAATTGAATAAAGTTGCCAAATTGAGCCAAAGACTTTGCCGTACAATTGAATTATCAGGATTGAAACTCCATGCAAAAGGTGGTTAAATTGGTAATTTGCTGAACTTTGCACTATGTTGCCGGAAGGTGTGAGGCGAGAGACATAAGATGAGATTGTTATCTAATTACACTTTGTTGTAGGTGTCTTTCACAAAACCCATTCAACCTCACACCCAATTTATGCATATTCAACTGAGATTTTCGCCAAAAGTCACACTTCACGTCTCTACGTTATCCAGTATAATGAGGCGATGTGAGGGGCTGATATTCTATGCTTTCGATTAATTATACTGCTGAGTTTAACAATTGTGTCAGAAAACCTAAAAAAAAACAGAAAAAGAATTGAGTTGTCGACGGAAAGAATCAAATTATTTAAATTTGAATACAATAACCAGAAAAAAAATTCCAAGTAAAGTTCTAAAATAATCAAAAATTGAATATTTTCAGGCAAATATTCAAATAAAACAAATTAAATTGAAATATGTTTTGAATATTCAATTAAAATTTAAATATATTTAAATAATTAATTGTTTTCATGGTCGCCAGAGGGCAGCAGTTTATTTTTTAAAGGCAAATTAACAATTTAGAAAATAATGAAATATTTGAATATTTTCTATCGTACTCAAAACATAATTGATTAATCACGAAGCTAATGATTTGAAATCGCGACTGATTTCCCTCTTGGATAATTTTGGAATGCAAACTCTTAACACTTCTTCGCCCCTTTAAAGTGCCTTGGCTAATGACGGCATTTCCCCATTCTCCATTTGATTCCCATTCATCGTGCAAGAGGAAACTTTGGAAAGTCTCGAAATAACTCAATGGCATCGACTAATGTTGCACGTTCTGTGGATGCAGGTTGGCTGGGTGCAGGCAGACACAAAAGCCATTCAGGCCATCCACGAGCAAGTCATCACTCACAATCCACGCGTGAGTGTCTCACATTCTGACCTCAACACATGGAATCTGCACATCAAATCCGTCACGGAGGAGGATCGAGGCGGCTACATGTGCCAATTGAACACGGATCCGATGAAGAGTCAGGTGAGTCGAGGGGGTTTTGGGGGGTGTTTTTTGGCGAAGACGTGCCCAATTAATTCAGCGCCAAATTCCCTTTTTGCGCGAAAATTGAAATTCCGCTCAATTTCCCAACCCCGCTGAGATGCATGGCAAAGTGTTGGGAAGTTAACGATGGAGATTGCTGGGACATCTCGCTACTGCGAGACACTAATGGCCACTAATGAATGGAGGAATGAATGAAAGATATGGTTCTTAGAGCTCCACACTCTCTCTCTTCATGCATTCCCGTGCGATGTTGCAAATGAAATCTGCATAATTATTAATGCTGCGTCACACATCACTAATTTACATGCTTCAAAACCATTTTGTCCCTCACTTTTTCCAACCCACCACACCAGCCCAAAGCCACCCGCAAAGCTATTGTGCAATAAGTCAGCGTGTCTGTTTCCATTTTTCCGCCACACAAGCTCGCATAAAAGCATCCCCCAGTGAATCATCGCGTCTGCAGAAAGTGACTGGCGGGCGGTATTATTCAATCATGCGGAAAACTGCAGAAGGACATGTGCTGCATGCGTTAAATATTAGTAATTTCATTGGGCATTTCATTCCGGATGACACAATTAGTGCGGAATAAGTGTCACAACTTGTGCAACTGTTGCACGGTGTAACTTCCCTAAGAGGTGCAATACTGTCTCAATTATCTTCTTAAGTACTCTCGCGCCAATTTTATCAGCGTCGAAAATGCAGCAGCACACAGTGGGAAGACATTTTAGCTCATTAAAAGACTTGAATTAATTAGATGCAGTGGTAAATTTTCTCGGGCTCATTTAAGTACATTAGGGGTTGTGCATTAATTTCATAATGGAACTGCAATTTGAATATTTTCAACAGCAATAACTGCATACGAAGTTGTCTTTTGCAACATGATTTTTGCACTTTGTACATAGTTTCCTCAAATTAAATAGAGCCACCTGAGATTGAGCTAGAGATCTGAGATTTTCCATAAATCTTCCCTCATTCATGACTAATTATCGTGCCGAGATTGAAGCCATTCGGACTAGTTCTTAATCCCCAAGTTAATATCTTCCAAATTAAATAAAGTTACGTGAGTAACTAAAGTGAATCACAGGTTGTATTTGGGATAATTCCGATCCAGAAGTTTGTACGGTGATTTTTTGGTTGCACAAGAAAGGACATTTAAACAGGATAATAAGCAGAAGAACCTTCTATTAAAGAAAGAGGAATTTGCAGCGTTATTGACCGCGTAAAAAAGTTTGGACTAGTTTAAAGCAAATTCGTTGCGTCGTTTTCTTCTAAGATCAACCAAGAATTGTTTCCTTCAATCGAATGTGTACATATGTGGAATGTACCTTAAATTTATTCATGTCTTTTTAATAAAATGTTTGTGAATGTCTTGCTATCAATTTATTCAGGGTGTCCCATTGTAATTGAACTCTATTGATTTCCCTCTCGACAGATTGGACTTCTCGATGTCGTTATCCCGCCGGACTTTATCAGTGAGGACACTTCGTCGGATGTGATTGTGCCAGAGGGAAGCTCTGTCAAATTGACCTGCAGGTGAGCCACATAATGCATATGCAATATTCTTGTCTGGGCTTGAGAAGGAGGAAAACTTTGTGCGCTGAAAAGTCTATGAAAATAGATTCTTTGTGATGTGTGTGTGTGTGTGTGTGGCTCATCTTCTGCCGCCTTCTTGTACCATCTACAATTTCCCCATGAAGATAAAGTTGAAAATTGTGTTCCGGTCATAACTGTCTAAGACAGACTTTTCTCACATTTCACCTGGGCGGCTAAAAATTATCAGTGCGCGGGGAAATGCAGAAAAAAAAGTTGGGGTTCAGTTTTGTTTTGCACCAAAACTCTTCAGCTTTCCGCATGAATGGTTATCAAATGTGAAAGATTATAAAGTAATTTGCCCTATTTTTTCCCACTGATTTATGACTTTGTAAAATGTTCCAGCATGAGCAGAGGAAGTCATAATTATGATGTTGAGCTAATTTGTAGAGGAATTATGCTCAAAACAGAACCATATGTTGCGGAAAGTAGTGCACTTCGGCGTCAATATAAAATTCAACAACTCAGCAACTCTCAACACACACACACAACTATGGATTTCCTCTTCGGAAAAATGCACTTTCACATGTTTGGGCGAAAAACCCACTTTTCATTCCTTCATTCTCAATTTCTGAGCTCATTGAGCACGCGAAAGTGGAGGTGAGAATGCGAAAAGCAACCATTGAAAGAACAGATATCGGAAGGTTGAGAAAGAAAGGATGAAGTGCCGAATAAAAAGCTGAGAACGGCAAAGAATAAAGTTTTGCAAAGGAATAACCATAAAGTTTCCTGTGTGGTCTTTGTCTTGCGAAAATATTGCATCTCAACAGCGAAAGCCAGACGCAACTTTTCCCCCAACAACTTCCCACTCTGACAGTGTGAAAACTCAATTTTACACAAATATTTCCTATTATGCAACAAGATACAAATCAGATGAGCGACGCGGAAAAAAGTTAATTGAATAATTTTCTCACTTTTTACCTCCCATAAATGCACAACACACGGAGAGATACGATGGCACAAGGAGATATTTTCTGCAATTTTCACACTTGGAAAACGATAAAGTTTTCCTTCTAACACATCGTTTTAGATTTTCTCCAATTTGCTCTTTTCCTTCCCCGCCAGGAAGGAAGACTTTCTTGGGTTTGCCGGTGCAGAGTTATAAATTCTGTGGGGTTTTTAGGGAAGGCGATTAACAGAGATTTTCGTGGGAAATTGTTTGTCAAATTATTCATTTGTCGCCCACAAAGTTCTTGCGTTGCAGGAGGAAAAAAAAAGAAAACATCTGCAAACTTTTCAACGCACGCTTCATGCAAAAGTGAGGCAAAATCTTTGGAAAAGTTACAAAATTTATGGCTGCATATAATTGGTCAGTAAAAATTCAGGTTGGTCTGTTGTTTGAAAATGTTGTTTGATCGGCAAATAAGTCAGGCACAAATGCTTTTTGTCAGTAAAAACATCATTTTGATCAGAAAATAATTTAATTAATCAGTTTTCGAGGAAAAAATGATCAGTATTTTTGCTGTTTGATCAGTAAAATATTGACTTTGGTCAGTATTATCAGCCAATAATTCATTTTGGCCAGTAAGTTGAATTTTTTAAATCACAGTTTGGTCAGTATTTTTACTTAATCAGTAAAAATACTCACGAAATGTATTTTTCGAAAATTGATCTATTGAATTATTTAATGATCATACTGAATTTTATACTTATTATTCTAAATATATCACCGAGTGAAAGGTTTTATGCCTCAATTTATTTGCAATAGTTTTCTCGTAATAACTCAATTGCCCTTTTGCTCAGAAAGAGTCTTGAAACGCAAGACTTTGCTGGATGTTTTTGAGGCTGGAAAACTCAAGCTTTACAGTGATTTTCCGTTGAACTCCGTGAAACTTGCAACATTGAGGCATGGAAGGTGCGATGAGTGACTTCATTAAATATTTATTGACTTTTCTTTCGCGATGTTGTGTGACTTTTAGCCACATGTATTCCGAACGAAATATCTTCAGTCGCTGCACTTTCTGCTCAACTTCCTTCGCTGTTTCACGCAACAGCGAAAGTGCATAAGAGCAAATAATTGAACTTTGTGAAATTTTTATTCACCATATGCTCGGGAGCTTTCGCAATCATTAATAAAGTCCACGAGGAGTGCAGCAAAAGTTCCAGGATGTGTGGCTCTGTGGCGTGATGGCGAAAAGGGGCGGAATTCTCCGCCAGCCTGGAAGCTTTTGCGCGTGGAACGAGGACGGAAACTGCTTTTTGATTAATAGATATTTCGTGTGTGTGGTGTTATGAGGGGGAAAAAATGTTTTCATGGACTTCATTGTTTGAAATTACAAGCAAGTCCGCCCAGAAAAACTGCGCCATTGTCCATATGTGTACTCCACATAAACAGAGCCGTCCATCCGTGACTCTCCTTCTCTCCTTGCCATGGAGACTAAATACACATAATTATTTTAAATGCACCGTAGAGAGACAGAGTCTTGCTGCTCAAACAGACACGCTCCGGGACAGTTGAAAGGGATTGTCCATTTGATAATATTTTCTCTAAATTTAAATGAAATTCCTCACACGTCTCCTGTTTGTCTTTTGTGCAGAGCCCGAGGATATCCTGAACCGATTGTCACATGGCGCCGTGAGGACAATGAGGAAATCATCCTGAAAGACAGTCTCGGTTCCAAGCAACACGGTAAAACCGCCTCTCTCACCCCCATTTGCCCCCAAAAACCACCCCCAAAAGCTCATAAAACTCCCACACTCAACAGTGACGTCATATCGCGGAGAAATCCTCAAACTGACGAAGCTCTCGCGTGGCGAGATGGGAGCATATCTCTGCATTGCGTCCAATGGAGTTCCGCCGTCAGTGTCGAAAAGAATTTCCCTCAGCATTCACTGTGAGTATTACTTCTGTCACATGTTGCCAACGACGAGCAGGCAAATTTTCCATGCACTTTTTTCTGGCAGATTTGCGCGAAACATACATTCTCGGCGTATTAAGTGGCGAGGGGAGTTTATCTGAGGCAGATAAAAACAGGGCAAAGAGGGATGACTTTGAGAGGAATTACTTTGGAAAAAATTGCTATTTCCCGAGATTCACCCATTAAATGAAAACTAAGGATCAGGAGTGTTAATCTCATAAAATGCAGGGGAGTTTTTACTTTAGTGACTTGTTTGCAAGCACTTTAAAATGTTGCAACATTGAATTTAAACCACTTATTTGCTGAAGAAGTTCAGAAAAAAACATGTTTGTCTCCACAGATGTTGAGATTTTATGGTGACATTTCCAAAAATGGGCGGAGTTTTCAAGTGGGAGGAGCTTAAGAATATCCAGTTTTTGACCTTTCACGCGGGATTTTGCCTCTCTTTTTGGCAGTGCTACTGGACTTGGCGAATTAGAGCTTTTAGCCAAGCATTTCAGAGCTAGAAAGCTACGTGACTACTTCATTCTCGGGGCACTTGTCGAACGCAATAAAGCAGATCCATTAGATGGACTTTCATTACATTCCGAAGACAGTGCATCCATTTTAAATGAGTGGATTACAATCCTGTACCTCGCCGACGAAAAAAGGGGGATTGAAGTGAGGATGGAAGCAAATAAAAATAGGAGGGAAATTAACTCGTTGTGTGCGGACGTGAATACGACTTTCTATCACACGTGGAACGTCGGCGAGGGGTCAAGAGGGGGTGAAATCGGGGGGTGAAATCTTTGGGTCTGTAATTTGGTGAACAAGTCTATTAGAGTTGGATGACAAAATGAGACACTCTCTAATCACTAGTCAGTGCGCAGATGAGTGCATCCCTGCCGGCGTGAGGGGGTGGCAATTGCCCACAGGATTCCTTCACTCTCCGACACGACCACTTATCTGATCCACCCTCAGGGCTGCCCTCTAATCCGCACAGCTCTCTCGGCCCCGAGACGAGTATTCAAATGCAACAACGAGATGTCCGGGGAAATAATTGCAGAGGTGCTATTTGAGGGTGGCAATCGTCATCTCAAATACCGCACATGCACTCTCTGGGTGTCTGGTTCGTCGCCCAACCGCTGGACAAACAGCTCCTGATCCACTTCACTCATTCTCTCTCTCTCTCTCTTCCAGTCCATCCAGTCATTCAAGTGCCCAACCAACTTGTGGGCGCCCCGCTCGGCACAGACGTCACGATCGAGTGTCACGTAGAGGCATCGCCAAAGTCTATTAATTATTGGATTAGGGACACAGGCAAGTAAATATTGTGATGTACCAAGTAACACGGCGCAAAAGAAAGGGATCACCGAGCATAAATTGTTTGTTGTATCACACAATTTCCTCTCCCACCGACAAACACACACTCATTAGGGCGGCAGGGATTTTCAGGGGCATCAGGTGGCCATAATTTTCGCCAGAATGAAAGTGTGAAAAATTCCCAGAATCGTGGTTAATGGGATATTGACTGTATAGTTAATTACAGTGCTGAATTTTACGTATAATTACATTTATATGAAATCCGATTAATATGTAATGAAATTATTCCAGGAAATTCTGGAAATTTTATAAATCATTCAACGAATCATGCTTTTTGGCCAATTAATATCAATTTGAAATGACTTTTCATTGTCTAAAAATATCAATTTCATTCACTAATTTTCCTAGAACACATGAGAATATGCAAAAATGCTGCTATTTTTCTCAGAAAAACATCCCTTGTTCTCCCCTAAAATAGCTTTTTATTCTACATTTTTCTTCCACTTTATCTCTTTGCTTAAAGGAATTTCTTCACAATCTTCCCAGACATCCACCCCGAAAAAAAATGAGCCAAATGATTATGTTGGCAAAATGTGAGATAATTTATGAAATTTAATTTCATATTCACTCCCTCGCGAAGCTTGTGCGCTGCCTTTAAATCTCAGGGAGGAAAATCCACACAAAAATGAGGCTGGCGGATATGGGAAGTGGAGATGGAGGTGGTGTTATTTGCACCTTTTCCGTGTGTTTCTGTTTGTGGTTTCCCAGACAGCCTTCAGCCACCCTTTTTGCCCACTCATGCTCCACTTTTTCCCCGCTCAACAGGTGAAATGATAGTCTCTTCAGCCAAGTACCACGTTCAGGAGACCGCCAAGTCGCTGTACGAGACGCGAATGTCGGTGACGGTGAGGAACTTCAGGAAGGAGGATGTGGGCTCGTACAGGTGCATTGCCAAGAACAGCCTCGGCGAGGTGGACAGCAGCATCAGGCTGTACGAGATTCCGGGACCGACGAGGAAGGTCCTCGCGCCGAAGTACGGCACGGAGACCAACGATGTCATCAAGATCAGACATCCGTCGTCGAAGGTGACGTTCCAGCCCGAGGACGACGATCTTTATGGATCCGCCGAGGACTTGGACGATCCGGAATTGACGCAGAACGGGGCGGTGATTCCGGGGATCTTCCTGAAGCCCACGAGAGCCTCTGGCCAGGACGTCTACACTCGTCACGTTGTCCCTATGGTGGGTCTGGTCACGAGATCTCCTCACCTCATTCCCGCCATTCGCGGCGGTCAGGATTCCGAGGCGAACTTCTCCTCAGGAACAGCCCGGAAAATTCCTCTCAGTCTCACTGCATTCCTGCTGATCCTGCTCATGAGCCAAACGCCCTCGTAATAGACAATCGCTGAGGGATCCTTAGGTGAACTGTTGATACATTGTTCGATTAATTAGGCTAATGAGAGAGACTTTTAGGTCATGCGAATAAGCAGGTAAAAAGATTAACCATCGAATTGTGCTTCAAATTGTGTTTTCGGCCTCATCAAATCCAGACCTTCGTGGAACTTATGCTATTTACATGCCCTTTACCCGAAAATTTAGTGAAAAATCAAAATTTTGTGCGCAAGCCTCAGCTAGATTAACCCCAAAGGAAGCTCTCTTTGAGGCAGAATTCATGTAAATACAGTAAAAGTGGAGTAAAGAATGCATTTAAACTGAGGAAGAATTAGTCAAAGTTATGTATGATATTCTTACTCTGTTTCAAGAGCTACACATATTGTCAAAATGTGAGATAGACGAATTATTTTGTAAAATTAAACAGAAATTTAATGAGAATAGTGTTAATGGAGAGTATATATTAGAAATATAATGATATGCAATAAGATTGTGTGCCATTACTAGTGAAAAAAAAAGAGATGTAGTTATAAAATAACTCTGAGAAATCAGCATTTAAGTTTCAATTTCAGTGACATTATAATCACAAAGCTGTAAGTTGACAGAGAGGCTTCTTTTGTAAATAAGTCAAAAGGTAAAGGAAATTTGAAATGTATTTAACCATATGTATATCTCACAAGGAAGAACTATTAAATGTATACAAAATAAAACCGAATCGCGTTCAGTTCACCAATTCTAGAAAAATAACACTTCAATTTGGGTTTGAATGTTCTTGGAAAAATATAACTTTTAACCGTCAATTTGGTTCATTTTCCTAAAGATTTTATTGAAAATTTCTACTTTTAGGGGTTGAATATTCATAGAATCATAAATCCATATCTGCCCTTGCCATCACATTTGGCATTCAATCTCAGTGGGGTGGAACCAAGGGGGAGATAATGTGGCTAAAATCTTGTCACAACTTCCAAAACACTTCTTAAACTCTTCTAGGATTTTAAAACAATCTTCATACTCTTATGAAACTGATTTAATTCGCTTTTCTGCAATTGTTTCCGATCATAACCTAAAAAACAACATTACGAGGCGTAAAACAATGATTTTTAAAAGGCTTAAAAGATTCAAATTATATTTTTTCAACTGTCGTTATTTTCTTTTGCCTTTAAAATTGAAGATTTTAACTCAAAACTTGATGTGAACACTCTAAAAATAGACATTCTTTAAATCTGAATCACATTTTTGTGGTTATGTTTTACTTTCAATGAATTTTAGGCAATTCTTATTACCTTTGAGAAGCTTTGAATGTGAGAATAAACGTGTTTTGAAGGTTATTTTCTCACTAAGTCTTGCTTTTTATAGTCACATAAGTTAGAAAGTTATTCTGGTGATTATTTTTCCGATAAACAAATCAAAAGAAATCCAATTTCCTATTCAAAATATATGCAAATTGGTTTAGAAACGGCTTTGCAAGTAGAAATACTGAAAGTAATATCTCCCCCTTGGGTGGAACAATTCAATAGGAAGGTGTCCTTAAAATTTGAGCAGAGGAATTGGTGATTGTTTCAGTAACTCCGCCCAGAGACATTTTGTGGGCAAAATTGAATGGATTGAATGGGGAAAGTCTAACAAATGTATCCCCATTACTTCATTAGTACAGCCTAAACTCGCAATGATGATTTACCTTTTCAATTTGAATGATTCCCAATCCTCAATAGAGTAATCAAACGTGTTCATACCGAGAACAGGGATTTACCCCCATTTGCAGTTTCAATTGTGCTCCACCGGAAGCCACAACTAAATAACACCATTGACGTGAATGGTAAATTGTGAGGATATCACTTGGGCCTCGTGTGGGCGCATCGTTAGGACGGGGCCTCTCTCGAATCTGAATAATTTATCACTCGTGATGCGGAGCCATGAAAGAATTAAAGTGCCTCGTGGGCAAGAAAGTCACTTTAAATGTCTCATGAATTCTCTGAGAGGTGCTTTCAATCAACGAACATTTGCATATAACGTCCTTTGGGGCATCGAAGGGCTGAGGAAGTAATATGGTGAGAGATGACCCTCAAACACTCAACTTAGACTACATGGTTAATCGATTGCATGGCGACGTTTGATTCACTTTCATGGAAATGAAGTCAAGTGTTGCGTCTGCAAAACTGCAAGAATTTCATCCACCTTCCATGGCAAGATGGGAAAGGGCCAGGAGAGTCTCGAGAGGAGAAGGTTCAATGAAACTTGACTCGAGCAATATTCCTGTGGTCTCGCAGAATTCCCTTCAGTCACGCTCCCTGTTTGAGGGTTCACCCACAGAATACGTCCGTTCATCTGCATTTCCGCAAATTTGCGGTGAGAATTAAACAATAATTTTATCGATTAAATGTTCGTCTCAAAACAGGGAAATTTCCGGGTCGTTGCAACTTTACTTTCATATCATTTTAGATAAGCTGTAAAAGTTATGAATTCGTGACATTTACAAGAATTTAGGAGAATTTTTTGTCTGAAAGTAAATTCATATATTTCGTCACATAGAGTCAAGAAAAACCGGAAAATTCATATGAAAAGCAATGAAATTGACGTTAATGACGTTTCTTAAGTTGATAAGCAAAGATTTGTTGAATTTATCTGACCATTTGTGCAAATCCTTCGATTCTTTCTAAGGAAATTGATTGACTTTTCCGAAATATTTGAAAACTACATATAAAATGATGTTTTTATACCATTTATTGTTCACGCGTTCATCTCGTGACATTGACATACGCGCGAAAATGCCGAAATTTCACAGTAAAGACATTTTCCCGGACAATCTGGTCAGCAAAATCCTTCAAGCATCCCGTCTTAAACACGCCAAAAGTCAGTAAAAGTCGCAGATGAAGATGTCTTGTCACTGGGCCGACAAGTTCTCGAAGTTTCTTGAGATTAGTTTGAAAGAAAGACGAAAAAATGCGCTTCACTTACACTGAAGAACATTTTCTTACTTCCAAGTGGAGGAAAATGGGCAGAAATTGGACGGAATCTGGAATATTTTGCTCTAAAAACACTTCAAAGCGCCGCCTGGCGGCCGCCAATATCAGCTAAGAAAAGCGTAAAGTTGCAAAGCCAATTCGTAATTTTCACAAATTGAAATACAAACTGTGTAAAGTCGCAACGACCAATTAATTCTCATTGGCCATGATTTCTCTCTCAATACCTCAATTCTCGGTCACTATTTGCCTCTGGCTTGAGATGACCAATTGCGGAGTTGTTGGGCTGAATCAATAGACCCTTTTCTTATCTCGATATCGGTCCTTCAGGAAGTGCTGCGAGTGAATATCCAGAGATGAGCGCTGAAACTGTGGCTCGGAAGCCTCTCGGGGAGAATGGGTAAATGGAAGAGAAGATGAGACTTGAAGTGTTCATCAAAGAGACTGGAATTGTTGATCACAGCATAACGATATGTGGTCTCTCATCTACTATGGTCCCAGAGTGCATCTCATCCTCAATTTCTATGCACCTATTTGTGAGCATTCTCGGCAAGATTGCCGGCGAAAGTGGAGTCACTAATGGTGTATCAAGGCAGTTTGGGAAATTATTCAGGCAACGATTAAGTCAGGCTGTTGCTCATGGCAACTGACAAATAAATAATTGACAATTTGGACTCTGTGCAGTCGAGGCAGTCGAGTGGAAATAGTCGCTCCACTTGCCCACCCTCATTGTCTAATGGGCAAAAATTTACAGCATTAGCAACATCCCAGAGAGTTTCTCACAATCGGCCGACGAAGAAGTGCTCTGTTGCTAGAGAAAAACAGCTCAGAAGACATGGTAAGAATGCTGAAAAAAATCCCTCTAATTAGGTTTTGCCATAAGAAATTTACCACTCTTGCATGCAGGCGCCAAAGCGGAGCAAAGGCAAAGCAAAGGGAACAAGTAAGAAGTGCATCCCAGACTAATTGAAACCAGCCTGAGTGTTTGCTATATGTTTTATTTCTCGCATAGCTGTTATCGATGGGGTGGACACCAGTTCGATGACCAGAGAGCAGTTGGAGGCCTTCGCCCACCGCCTCAAGAACGAGATGGAGCGCGAGCGGGAGGAGAGGAACTTCTTCCAGCTGGAGCGTGACAAATTGCGAACGTTCTGGGAGATTACGCGCAATCAATTAGGTATATTCAATGATTCTCTCGCTGTTTCTCGTCGCATTTCACCCGTGATTGCTCTCAATTTGCAGAGGAGGCTCGAGCCATCATCCGCAACAAGGATCGCGAAGTGGAAGAGGCGCAGGAGATGGCTGAAGTGGACATCAAGCATGTCACGCAGCAGATAAAGCATCTCCAGTACGAACATCAGACGCGCCTCGGCGAGATGAAGGCAGAATACATGACTCAGCTGAAGATGGCACAGGAAGATCACGGAAAGCAGGAGCAGGAGCTGCTCAAGGACAAGCGCGAGCTGCGACGGTTGCTGAGGGAGAAGGAAGAGAGCACAGAGCTTCAGATCCAGCAACTGAAGCTGAGTCACAGCGAGTCTCTCAGCGAGGAGAGAAGTCGCTATGAGAGGGAGCTGAAGGAGCTTCTGGTGCATCAGGAGGCGAAGATGGATCGCTTCATTCAGGAGAATGCCGTCAAGAATCGGATGGAAGTGGCAGAAGTTGAGGAGCGCAAGAACACACAAATCGCCAAGCTGATTGAGGCTCACGATCAGGCTCATCAGGAGCTGAAGATGTACTACAATGACATCACGCTCAACAACTTGGCCCTCATCAGTAGTCTCAAGGAGCAGATGGAGGAGCTGAGACAGCAATCGGAGCGCAATGAGCGCACAGTTTCCGACGTGACGGCGGAAAATCGACGCCTCGTTGAGCCTCTTCAGGAGGCAAAAGCCGAACTGGCTGATCTCAGGAAGAAGCTTGAGAATTACGATCGCGATCGAAGTGCCTTGGCGCGATCGAAAACCCGCTGCAAAACCGCCGAGAAGAAGCTGAATGATCACAAGTGGGAAACGGAAGAGCTGAAGATGCGCCTCGAGGCGGTTCTTGAGGAGCGCGATTGTCTGAGGGGCAAATTTGAGGAGGCCGTGCTGGAGTTGCAGCAGAAGGCAGGGCTGAAGAATGTCCTGCTGGAGCGGAAGATCAGCCTGATGGAGCAGGATTGCGAGAAGAGAGAAGCTGTCCTGGGCGAAGTGCTGTCAGTGGCCGGAATGGAGCCTCAAGCGTTGAGCATTCGCGTCGAGAAGCTCATTCAAATCAAGACGGATAAAATCCAGGATTTGCAATTCGAAGTGATCAAAATCACGAAGAAGTACAATGAGCTGTTGAGGTATTTCCATCAGAAGATGGATGCCATTGGGATCGGATTGTCTGGGGAAGAATTGGAGTTTCAGCAATTGAAGGTGCCCGACTACAAATTATCCACTCACTCGGCCATGAAATATCTCTGAAAATGTCCAGTTTGGAAAATCAATAAATTCCCTGTAAAAGGCTTTTCAATTGCGCGTTTCAGATAGAGAATCTAAACATTCTTTTTATAGCCTTCTTCGGCTGATTGTCCTTAAGAAGCTGCTTTGGTAATTTTGTGCTAAATAAAATACAGTTTGCGACGAGCAAGAAGCTTCAGAAGCGACCCAGTTTTCAATTCCCTAAGGATGCCCAAATTGGAACTCCGTCACAGATAATCATTCACTATTACTGACTCTAAATAGAATATTTTAAATAATTCCAAGGATTTTGCTCACCACAATGTCAGCATTGAGAGAAATGTGTATTTATAGATGAGTTGGGATCAAATTTTAATTGATTTCATAAAGAAATTAAGTGATTTTTCACGTGTTTGCAGTTCTTTGTTATAGAAATCAAGGGAAAGATAATATGGCTGAAATCTGTACACCACTTTCCAGGGCTTCACACATTTCTTATTTTTCTTGATCATAATCCTTAAATTGAAATTAAATATTCATTTAAAGATATTTTCTAGAATCTTCCTAACTTGAAAACGTTACTGTTTAGTGTAAAGTTGATTCCAACGTCCAAAATCACGACTTTCTTTGGGTAAAAATACGAAATTCTACTAATAAAGTGAAAAATCTTTCAGTTTAGATACAAGAATTTCTAGTTTAAGAAGTTATTTAGTCTTAAATCAGTCACATAACCTAGAAAAATAAGGCAAAATTAATACTTTGTTTGATTTTAATTCCTGAGAGTAAAATAATCAATAGAAAACCGAAATTGGGAGCCAAATATTGCATAACTTAAAGCACTTCCACTTCTTAAATCTTCTACAGATTTGTACACCACTTCCGACCATATTATCTTCCCCTTCATCGGGGCATAAAGTGTAATTGAAGATGATGAAAACTCTGTTTTTTCGTTACATAAAAATAGACAAATTTATTTCCCCCAGTTTCCCTGCGCGATTGCATTTCCGTTACTCACTTCCTCATTCAAACGGATCTACTGAATTTAGGTTCCGCGGCTGCTCAAGAAGCATGAATGGAAGTGGGACAAGAGAGAATTTCACCACAATAACAAATCATTGTGGTTAGATTTGTGTGAAAATGTCAACAAACTTCCCGGATGATCTTCTGCAGCAGTACAAATCGCTGTCCACGAAGCTGAAGAAGGCCGAAAAGGCAGTCTTCAAGTGAGTAACATCAATTGCCATGAGTAGAACCTGAATCACTCTTAATTTCCTGCACAGGCGCTTCGGGCCGAATCTCTTGGAGGTGTCGGAGGAGTTCTCCTCCCTGGCCGGAAGCTTCAACAAGGCCTTCCTGCCCGAATACGCGGCGCTGTGCTGGCTTGGCGTGGCTAAATGCGAGGGACTGATTGGGAATGGAGTGACGGAAGTGGACGCGCTCCTGCGGTCAGCCAAGGCCTTCCTGGCGGCACACGATCAGCAGCAGAGGCTGCACGTGCTCACGAATGCCGGAGAGCATCTCGAGGGCGCCCTGAGGTGCTACAATCAAGCCCTGGGGCGTCTCTCTGAGGACTCCGCCATGCGGGCGGCCATCATCCGGGAGATAAAGAAGATCAAGCCAAATGCCGAGAACACCAGCAACTTCAACTCTCCGTCGCACCGAATCTACGATCTGGAGATGTCGGCGAAGGAGAGCATTCAGTCCGGAGACTTCGTGGCGGCGCTGGAGAAGCTGACGGAGATCTGTGACGATGTGGGCGAGAGGAGAGTCGAGGCCTTCTACGGCAGCGTTCTCAACCGCACGGAGATTTCCCGGCTGCTTCTGCTGCTGCTCCTGGAAGTGCCGCCGGCCAGACAATCACCCTCGCACATCAAGCTGCTGGAGAGATACACGAGTCTCGAGTCCAGCTGCTCAGATCCCGCCAACATTCCCATTGGCATGGATCTGGAGCTCTTCCTGCAGCTTCAGGGCCTCGCGGTGGCGTGCCAAATGAAAGACATCGACGCTATTCGTGCCTCCCGGAATGCCATCATTGACTTCCGAGCAGTCGCGCCCGAGCAGCACTTTGTGCTCGGGCGAATCCTGAGGAAATTCGAGGACTCCGCGAATGTTTGTAAAGGCTGAATGGGAGTCTTATTAGGGAAGAAATACAAAGTCTTTTTCACGCATTGCGTATTTGATCCAGCAAGAGGGGAGAAATCCTCGTTCGTCTTCATATTCGATCCCTTTTCAGCTTTTTCAGCGCTGCGTAAAAAAAAAATCTCCCAACTGCAATTTCTCCATGTGACTCGGCACAATCTCGCCTGTCGATCGAGGTCTGTTTATAGGCGACGCTCAAGGAGGCCGAATTGTTGCGAGCCAGAAAGTGTTCGGCAAGATAAAGGGCGGGAATTTCCCAAGGCAGAACTCTGTTTGTCATCTGTTAAGGATTATTTCGTCTTTATTGCCTGGTCTTTGCCTTGAATTTGATTGTAAAAAAAAGCATCTGGGTTTTCCCGACCCATTGGCAAATGTGTTCAATCGTGTCTCTGGCTTGTGCTCTGGTAATAAACTTTGGGCTTTCAGCCGACAAAATCCCGATCGCCTAACAAGATGCGACAAGATCTCTGTCTTTCTCTGTTTTCTCTCCAAGACATGCAAATTTGACCAAAACCTCTGCTCTGTCATTCCTATTTACGGTACATTTCTTCCGAGAAAAGTCTGCACAAGAGCTTATCTTTTATTGCCTATGCAGAGCATTTGCACAGCGGCACAGAAATGTAGTATATCGTTTTACAGCCCCCCCCGGAGAAAAATGCGCAGAAGATGGCATTTTTGTCGCAGTTTCAGACACTTTAAATGCGTTCAAAGCGCTCAAAGGGATTAAATCCACAGCTAGATTTACCTTTGTCTGCAAATGGCAGATCATTAGTCGATCATTAGGAAATCTTTTTGGGTCTTGGCGGAGCCACAAAGAAGAAACCCATTAGAAAATGTGTAAAACGCACCAGTTTTGCTCAAAATGTCGTTCCATGTGTGATAATTCGACATTCATTATTTCCAGATTATGAAGCCTTAAGATTTTATTCAAACTTGACCTTTATCAAAAGGAAAACGATGAGGATTTTGAGGTTGCTTTGATGGAAAACGAATTTGAGGAATGTGATTTTCTTTACCCGGTAGAATATCTTGACGAAAATAAGCTAAAAATACAAATTTGCATTTACGATCTCGCTCAGATAGCGTTTCATGGCTTTGCAGCAATTTGACCTGAAATTTGGACGTTTTTCCAGATGGATGAGTTTTATGACCAGACGCTACCAATACCACCCAATCCACCCAACGAACTCTCCCTCTTGTCCCATAGAAAACAGAGTTTTAGCAGGCTTATAAGCACTCGTCGAACTGTAACGGTCAAAATGTTCTCCGAAAACATCATATTTTATCAATCTTCAGTTCATAATCCTCAGTTAGGATCTGCTTGCATTCTTTAACGTTGAAACTGTTGTAGTTATTGACACTCAGCGACAGTTATCAATACAAATTGCATGCAATTTATCTTTTAATACCATTTTTAGAGGAAGAATAGAACTGATAATTGACTAAATAGTGCTCAGATTATCGATTTTTTAATATTTTAATAGGAAATCGTACTGTTTCGTGACGAGAGAGACAGAATAATTCAGAATCAAAAAATGCATTTTCACTGTGAATTCATGAAAATGTTCGTCTTCTAATTTTAATAAGGAGGGAAAATCTTAATTTTTCATAGTTTAAAAAATTTTTATTTTGATTTGATTTTTTGATCTCAGCCTCAGTTTAGCGTTTTTCTACATTTCTTCATTCTTTACGCACAATTGCGGATAAGTATTCAAGTTCAATACTTAAATCCTGATGAAAGGTGATGAAATTTTAATAATTTTTTATCCTATAAGCTTGAATTCTTCATAAAAATCGAATTTTTCACTATAAATTCCATGTCTTAATATCTTTTTCGCTACTGTATTCTTCAAATGTGAAACATGCTAAAACTCAAGATCATTTTCTATGGATGTTTTAATCAAAATCATCCTTGAGGTCCTTGAAACCAACAGAATATTTCATCCATCATGCGTTCTAATTAGTCTTTTTTCAGCGAATAATTAAGATCTAGTTTGGCTTCCCTTCGACTCTGTGCGCCTTTATGTTGGCTCTGCCTTCGCCTCTTCTCTACCTGGCCTTCGACTTCTCCTTCTCGCCAGGACAATCGCTACCTGTACGAGTGTGTGCATCTGGCTTGTCCAATAGAGAGCTTATCTTGCGTGTGTGGCAGCTTTTGTCCTTGTCTAAGGATCTCCTCTCTCCCTCTGCCGATCGTCTTATAAAAGAGCCGTGCGCAGCTCAGTGTCGAAGCCAGTCTCTTGAGTTCCTTCAAATCGTGCTGATCGTCACCCTTGTGTGTCAACGTTCCTGTAATTTGTTCAGTGCTTCCATTCGCTGTATTTTCTGTGATTATCCTGCAACGATGGCCGAGGTGGAGTCCAAGGAATTCAAGGAATACTTCATGATTGTGGAGCTGGAGTCCGCCGAGGAGGATGAGTATTGCCAATTGATAATGATCAGTAACAAACACGTTCGCAATATGGAGACCGTTAATCCCGATACTTGCTACACTGGAAAGCAAATTGAGCTTGACTTGGCTGGCGAGATTAAAAAGGCCAGTATTTCCACGATCTCCGCGGACTTCGAATACGTCCGCGCGCAATTTCGCTACCTTCAGGAGCAGAAAGAATCCGCTGAGAGCTTCGAGAGGTGAGTCTGCAAGTTGAGCTTTTGCTGGAGGGGATAATCTTCTAATAAGAGCGAATTTTTTCCCGTTTTTGCAGTGAGCAGGCAAAAATGTCTCCAAAGAGCGATGCCGGCGCCAATAGCCCTGAACTAAACCGTTGCAGCGTTGAATCTCCGGTTCCGAGCACTTCTGCTGGTCCCAGCACGTCTGCGGCTCAGCGCGGGGCCCCGATGACCTTCAATCAGCAGACGCAGACGGACGACAGGATGGGCGGCGAGGATAAGCCGGCCACATCGTCCCAAATGGACCAAAATATGCAGCAAATGGGGCGTCTTTTGGACCACAATGCCGCCATTAGGAACCACATGGGCGACCTTCATCGCAATCAAATGGACCTGAACAACAAGTACGAGGCGTGCAACTTCACGTTGAGCCAAGTTCTGCGCCGCGTCCAGATGCTCGAGGACGCAGTTGCACAGGTGAGGCGTGTGCAGGAGCAGCTGATGACGCCGCGGGAGAACTCTGGCTCGATCTTGCTGGAGGTGTCGCCGGTCACGAGCTCCCCGTCGTCGGACAACGCCGTGCTCAATGAGACTGAGTTGCAGATGGAGACCATCGAGCGCGTGACGCTGCGCAAGGATACGCTTCCTGCGCTCAAGACGTACAGCACGCCGAGGGCGAGCAAGTGCAAGTCGCCGCCGGAGTTCAACGACGAGAATGACTGCCCGAATCCGAAGAGGAGGAAGACGCCCCAGAACTCTGGCCGCAGCTCCAGCGACTTCGAATACCAGCACGAGGAGGACGTCGTGATCGGGCCCAATGGCACAACGGTGCCGGCGCAGATGGTGAAGAGCATGAACTGGGCGTGCTACTCACTGGCCACCAGGCGCATCCTCGTGCACGTCTTTGGCCGCAAAATCCTCTCCACTCACTCACTGTCCGGCAAGGCCTCGCCCGGTAAGTCCGCAAGGATTTCTCTCCTCTGAAGATTCATTTCTAACACGGAACTTATCCACTCTTTGCAGCATTCCAAGATCGCACGCCCAAGGACCCACTCAATCCGCTCAAGGTTCTGGACATCGTGCAGTTTGTGGCCAAGAATGCCAACGTTCCCGAGTCAAACGTGAGGAGCATTGTCACGGCAAAGTGTGCCGACGAGAACAAGATCGTCAAGGCGAAGAGAGAGAAAGCCAGACTCAGAAGACTGCGCATGAATAACGGCGGCAACGGCAGTAGCGGCGATGGCAGCAGCGGCGGCGATGGCAGCGGCGGCGATGGCAGCGGCGGCGACGGAAGCAGCGGCGGAGACGGCAGCGGCGGAGATGGCAGCGGCGGCGACGGCAGCAGCGGCGCCGGCTGTAGCAAGAACCTAGTATAATTGCTGATGCGACATGGCGAACTTCTGCGCCAAGACGATTGTGAGGATCAAGACTTAGTCTCTGTTTGTTCCTAATGTATTTTAAAGCGTTTAAGACAAGTTCTAATGTGGAGTTGATGGAAAATTGATGCCTCGAATTGTTCGAGATTGTAAGACAGCGGAGAGCTTTTGGCATTTGATTAAATAAATACAATTCTAGCGAGAAAATTGAGTTGTTGTACGAGAAGGAGAATCTCACCAAGCCGTCAAAAAGAAGCAAAAAGGGAAAGAAGAGAAAGATATCATAAAATCTTGTCCTTGAACTTTCACTAATAACTTCAGGTAGATTTTTCCCCAAAAACAGCAAAAAGGGTGCGAGAAATGTAGCAAAAATGTCTCTTGAAATGCAATTTTGCATGAATTTGATTTTCTGTCTGTCTGCTGAACTTTCTCAATTTATCCATCAGGGCCTTATCTGTTGATTTTCTTTGCTAAAATTGGGCGATTTAATTGGTATTTTCCGTATTTTCAATAATAAACGTTAAAAGTTTTAAGGGTAAAAACGCTAAGAAGCAAAAGAAGTCTTGAAAGGTGATTAAACTTTGCCTTTTTGGCTTAGAATATTAAAATACTTGTTTAAATATGAATTTGGAAAAGGAAAGCGAAGAAATTGTGTTAAAATTTGATCGCAAGCAGTGAAATTCCCTCTTATTATAAGGGATGATAAGAGAGAGTACTAAAAAGTGCGTCTTCGATATCTTATTTTAGTCAAATCGTTCAACGATCCCAATTTATTTGCTATATCTTTCCTACAGATGGCGCAACAAGAGCGAGATTTCTCAAATATAACGAATAATTCTCCTTTCTTCTCCTTATAAATCATCAGGAGCAAACAAGAATCGATGAATTTCAATTGATAAACAGACGCAAGTGAGAAAACATGATTATTCTGAATTTGGACTCTTTGTTCTGCAACTCAAGGGCTTCGGAGGGTCGCTAAGTGAGTGGAAATTAAAAACGCATTTGCATAATTGAGTGTGAATGGAAGTAATGTGAAGTCGATGCTTTTGTCTTGCTCTTCAATACGCAACAAATTGACCAACTGTTTAGTCTCCGAGCCCGCGTCCAAGTTCAACAATCCAGGAAGTTGCTGATGATGTAAAAATGGTTTGGAATCTTTTGTTGCTGAGCCACAAAGAAGGAAACTGCGTGCGATAAATTGTGGGCGTGTGGTAAATCTCCAATAATTTTGCTGCATTTTCATCGTGTTGTCTGGGAAAATAATCAAAAGGCGGATTCCTCGGATTTCCATCCTTTTGTCAAAATGCCTCTATTTATATTGTCTTCATCGTCATCTCTGGAATTTTCTCGCGGGGACACAAAAGGGAGCAAAATGCAGCAAACGATGTGTAAAAATTACACTCATGTATTGTGTGGTGAATTCTGCGGCGTTTACGGGAAGTCCTGACTTTGTGCGGATGGAGACATTCTCGTCCTGCGCATTTTCCACTCACACACACACGCGGACGCACACTTTTCCAGGGTGTTTTCCTGTGGGTTCGCCCAGCACACTTTGTCCCGCTCTGGAGTGCACGGAGAGCGCGACTCACGGCACAAAGAAGTGCATTTATCGATCCAGGAGTTTCACCCCCGAAGGCGTCCAAGAACAATGAAGATGCCATGCGTGGAGGACAAAAAACCTTCCCACTTAGTGCAGTCATTAACTCACTTCCCTCACCCGAAAATGCAACACAAACACACAAGTGGGATTTTCGCACTCCCCCAGTGGAAAATTTTTCAATTAGACGTACACCATCACTTTCAGGGGTCCCGCTTTGTTTGATCACAGCGGGACTGGCAATGATTGAGCCTGAAATCATTGCGGGAGGACGATGAATATCCTCACAATTGCCATATCGCATTGTTCGTCACTTCAATGATATCATTTACCCGCGCATATTAAAAATTTATTATACGACAGAGAATGGCAGGAAGATTGTCCTTAACTGTTGAGACTTACGAATGCAAGAAGTGTGATTGAATGCATCTTTCTTCACGGGAATTGTGCGATATTTCATAAACCTTCCCTTTGCAACTTGTGTGTGCAATTTCTAGCCTAATTTCCCAGCAGAGTTTTGCTTGTGGTTAGGAAATTCCTCCCATCTAATCTCCGATGCTTTTCCACCGACTTTCAATTAAATGCCTGAAGTGCTGAGCGACTCCTGCCGATTTCCTGCCTCAATGCGATGCGGGAAATTTGATTTTGAGGTCATGTGGATGAATAAAGGGACCCATTTCCGGCTTGTGAGTGAAATTCGACACAATTTGTGCGTTCATTTTGACGAGTTTGCCGTCCATGAAAGACTCCACCTCAGGTCCAAACATTTGGAAAATCAGGGGAAAGACTCACTCTCTCTCTCTGCTCAGTCGCTCTGGCCGAGCAGAGATGGGTTTTCCACGGGTTTCCCGTGTAGATTGGAGGGGAATCGACGGTGGTGTGTTGGTTGGAATTGTCTGAGTGTGTGCGCGACTGTCGAGAGACGAGTTGTGTTTTGTTTTGGCTTCATCAGCCTTTTCATTCCACTATTTTCTACTGTAGTGAGTAGTTGACGGTATTCTAGAGCTGAGAGAGAGTGGAGATATTTGTAGTTTTTTCTACACTCTTTTGTACTACTGCGTAGTGTTTGGAAAAGTGGGAGCAAAATGGAAATGCCATCAGTGTTCTTGCATTCACTGTAAATTGGGAAATTTTTCTGATACCAATCGTGTGTGTTCAGTGGCTTTTGGAGCCAAATCAGGGCAAAGAAAGACACAGTTTTGTGAGGCTAAAGACACTGTGAAGCTCCAAAGAGCGCGATTTTCTCACCCCAAACAAACATGGGTATTTTTAGCCGCATTGAATGTGCTGAGATCGATCGCAGTCCTGAGATTTGATCGCGAATGATCTGCAGAAGGCTCGTCAGAAGTGGTGTTCATATATTGAGAGAAATTGTATTGTTAAACTACAAAAGTGAGAAGAAACACACAATCCATTGAATATCACAATATTTATTCTCGCGGTGAATTCTGCCGGATTTCTCAGCCGAAATATATATTCTGTGAGTGTTGAGAAATTGGTGTTTATTTTTACAGCCTGCAAATTGTGTGCTTGAGCATGCAGAGCACCCACGAAATGGATTAGGAACATTTGGTGTCTCGCATGCAGCACAGTCGTAAAAAGGCATCCTCCAGAGACTGTCTGACTGTGAGTATCCAATTAATCCGCACTAAGTGAATTGATTCCTAATTATGTTGTCGTGCCATCGCGAAAAATGGGTTAAATGGCAGAGAAATTGCAGAGTAAAAGTCGCAAATTATCCATCAACATCTCTGGTTGGAGAGACATATCGCCTCCAAATGGAAATGTATCACGTTTCACTGTCTCTTTTTTGTCCATCGCCTTAGGAGAAGATGTGTGTCTCGAGGCATGGAAATATTTATAGAAAATCACCCAGCATTATTCCATTGAGCGCAAAAATCATTGCAAGTCAGTGTTTTAGGATTTGCACACTTTTGCTGTTGCTTATTTATAGATGACGAAAATAACACCCTTTTATGCCACTTCGGAGTGGATTTCGAGGTGTGCGATCGCCTCCGAGGGACGAAAGGGAGCGAGAGGGTCAAGAGAACATGAGAAAAGTGGGAGAAAATTACTTCATGAGATGAAGTTTTTCAGACTGAATATTGTATGGTGAATTTGGCAGCGCAGAGTTGAAGCGACAAATTGGGCTGGTTTTAAAGATAATGATAAAGATGAACTGTGTTTCAGTGTAATATATTTTGAATATTTGCACTGCAAAATCTTCTATATGAAGAAATTGTGATATTTTCTTAATTATTTTGCTTAGAAAAATCAATTTTTTTGTTTTTCTAGGTTATGTGACTGATTTAAAACCAATTCTGGTCGTTAAATAACCCTCAAAATGATTAAATTGATATTTTCTAAGAATGTTTCTCATTTTCTTGGCAGATTTGACTATTTGTGTCCAAAAAAATGTTCAAATTGGTGAGATTTTACTATGAAAAAGCTTTAAAGTTAATCATAACCTCAAAAATATAATGTAATTGCTCATGAATAAAAACTGGGACTGTGAAGTACAGATTTCAGACATATTTTCTTCTCCTTGGATCATATGTTTAATTAAACATTTCTGTCGAATTTTGTAGTTGTTCTCATCTTTTATCTGCCTGCTTTCCGCCTCTGACTTTTGAGCAATATTGAAACATGAGGGTTCGAAAGACACTCAAATGAATGACAAAGGGGGCGAATTCTCCCTGCTGGCAGTGTGCGTGTGTCCGTGTGAGGATATTTTTAAAGCACAAACACGAGCGTGGGAGCTGCTCAAATACTGATAAAGGGCGCAATTCACCCTCTGCGTCTTCGGCTGCGTGTCCACAGGAGTGAATACACAATTTTCCACCCCCAGAAGGCGCTTCACCAATTGTTTCATGTACGAATCACAAATTCATAAACTGTTGCTCCCCCGCAAACTCTACCTGAGGGCGAAATTCAATCGCTGGCCGAGACACACAATTGGAAGTGTTTGTTGTGACTCCGCCAAGGGTGCATCAGCCTCCTTTTGGGGTCACTGAACCGCCGCACTTCCTCCACTAAAACTGTAAACACACGAGTGCGGGGGTGTCTTCGTAACAGGTGGTTGTTGCCACGACAACTAAATGCATTTGCCGTGTTTCACCCTTCGCGCTAATGTGGCTCTGGCCCCCCATAAAGCTAAGAGGGCCGCCGCCCCGTCGACCCACTCGGAATGTAATTCAACGTCTAATTTCGTCACTCCAACCGCCTTCCGACTCAGCGCTCCGTGACCACAAACATCATTCAACCACACCACAGTCCACAACATCGCAGGACACTCGCCATCAACCATGCAATTACGCTGGGAGGCGCTTCGGACGGGCGAGGATCTCATTGAAAGTTTGGGAGTGTCTCAGCTCCAGAAAGCTTGGCTCGCATCCAAGCAATATCGAAGAGATATCGCTGCTCCGCGAACGATTTCCAAATGCCTCTCCCACCAGGTTTTCCGCAAATTTCTCGCTATAAATGGAACTCCTTTGAGATGTGGGAGGAAGTTTTCTCAGACCTTTTGTATCGCTATAATTAGATGTCCTGAAAATATCTTGCTTATCATCGAAGACTTGGATCTGGAGCAATTATCTTGCGATTATAATTCAGAAAAGGTTGCAATGACGCTTATTACAACCTTTACACGCTATTTTCCTGCAACTCTGAAGCAATGTAGAATACCATAAAGCATTCCGATTGCAAAACTATTCCATTTTCACATGATTGTCTTAATCAACGTGCACGATTTGCTGCGGCATAAATTTGCATTGATTTGCTAGATAACAACTTGGCTTATCGAGTGCGGGTGTTTTTCAGCATTTTCACGGATTTCCTCCCGTCATGTCGAAGGGTCGTGGGGATGTTTTATTAATTTCAGAATGGAAATTTCAGCTTCCCTGCGATGAAAAAGGGCCAGAAATGAGCGTCGAAGGTGTTATTGAATTTTATGGCATGAATAAATAAAAGGCGCCTCTATTTTTGGCATAAAATCCTAATTTGACCTTTTGCTCTCGGGAGATGACATAATTAATTACTCTCTCACGTGCAATTTTCAGCCTAATTGGGAGCTTTTCTTGTTTATTTAGCATAACACAGCGTGTCCAAATTGATGTTTTCACGCTGGGATAGAGTAACAATTACATCTGTCGGTGGTTTTTCCTTTGATTTCTGCGTCTTGTCGTGATGTTCATCTGCGGATGGGAGATAAGAAATTGCATTAAAACTGTCTGCCAGAGTGAGATTAACTTTCACCATTGCTGACGAGATTTCTGATGCATCTGGAGACGAGATGAGAGATGGAATCGCATCGATCGACCGTGCTGATCGGTCTGGGTGTGGATGCGACATTCGTGCGAGAGGAAAACTGAAAATGACATGATTTCTCGAGAGTGTGAGTGCTCATATTTCAGTTCCAATGCCACTTGACTGCAGTGATGGGAACATTCTTGACGCTGGAGTTAATTTGTGAGTCAAACAGACGATTTATTACCACATTCGAGTCATATTTCCCCACAAAGAATGCTTTGCAATGGGATAAAAACTGCTTTTCCACACTTGAAATCCGACACGGATGAATCGAAAACTATGAAAAGTAGATTTATTATAGTTTTCAGAAATTATCAAAAATGTCTCAAAAATTGCAGTCAAACGTAAAAAAAGCTTTTTCAGAAAGTAATTTTAGAATTTCAGAATCATCCTGAAACGTTTTTTAGACTTTGAATGAGTTATTTATCATATCTTTTAATTTTTTCACTTGAAAACACTAAAGAAAAGTTCAAGTGAAGTATGAAAAGTTAATTTTTTAAAAGTTGATTGGATAAAATCGACTTTGGAAAGTAATATTTTCAAATTTTCTATTAATTTTGCCATATTTTAGTCAAAAATTTCAATAAATCCCAATAAAGTATTTACAAAATAAAATTATACAGAGTAATATTTACACTTTAATGGACGATTTGAAGGCGTTTTGAGGATTTTGAAGTAAACTTGGCAAATTTCGCAGCTGTAATAACGATAAATCTGGAACTTGCTCTGCTGAATAATTGCGATTTTGGCTTTTCATTGTTTTTTACGAAGCTCTTTCATTGTTGACTCTTCTTTTATATGTGAAGCACTGTGTCATCAATTCATTTCGACACGTAATCGCCCATCCCAGCTGGATGACACGACTGTTACTCTATCGATGGTGTAGGCTCAGTCTGTATTTGCTGTAGGCAGAGTTTGTGACCATTCAAATTGCAAAAGTTGCTGCACAGTTTCAGTTTTGTGCAAACTCTCAGACGAGCCACAATGAAGCGCTGAGAGACAGAGTTCTCTTCCACAGTAGCCGGTTGAAATCAATAAAAACGCGAGAGTGTTTCTGGAGGATGTAAAATTCTGTTTTCTCACACACAATAAAATGTGATTCTTCAGCGATGCAGCGCATCTAAATTGCCACCATGATCGTCTCGCTGAAAGATATCGGTGAGACAGAGAGTAGAAATTGTGCCACGATATGAATAAAGTGCAACAAAATGTCCCATTATATGGCATTGTCGCATTTTCAAAATAAGAATAATGCAGAATGTGGTGGAGAATTTATGATGTTCGCTTATGAGGCGAATTGCTCATGTGAATAGTGTGATAAAATCTCTTGAATGCACTCAGCAAATTCGGTCATCAATTGTGTATCAGCTCACGGTGGGTGGTTTTTCACCCGGAACGTGCTATTTTGGCGCCAAAAAAACGCGCAGCTGAACAAGTGAAAAGGCGCGGACCGGAAACACCCACAAATGGCCACATCAAAGAGCTTGAGTGTGTGTTTTTCGGCTGAAAAAGCCAATGGGAATTCATCAAAATCAGCTGCGAAACCCATGAAAGATAGAAGATTTAATTAGAGGAATTACTGTTGTGACAAAAAGTGGGCATTTGGTAACTCAACTGCCGCTTATGGCATCTTAAAGTGTTGGGAAAGTTTCGTAAATGTTTCTTGAAATGTTGTTGCTTTGCGACTGTGGGCAAAATTTGATGCAAATCCAATGGAAAGTGAGAAGTTCGAAGGAAAGACTTTGTCTGAGCACACAGGGTCGATTAATTTGAGAAGGCGGCACTTCAGAAATCAATTATTCCGAAGAACATAATGAGATATAAGTTAGCCCAAGACGAATATGGCATTGAAATTGCTTAACTCGCGAGTAATTTATTTGATTCTCGGAACAATACTGTAATTTATCACATTAGCAATCCAATGGGAAGATATAATAATCAGAAGTGATGTATAACTCAGCAGAAGTATTTGGAAGTGAGAAAAAGAATTGTTCAGAAAGAATTTAGGACAAAGTTTTCCACTAAATAGCATTCAAAATAATTCATTCTTGCGCATGAACTGATATAATTTGCACTTTTCTGACACAATCATATTGAAATCTGGGAAAATCATAGGATTTTAATGTTAAAATCATGTTAGGATTGATCAAAACCTCTAAAATTGTGTTCTTTAAGAGCTGTTTGATAGGTTTTCAACTCTGAAATAGCAAATTTCAAATCATTTTCTATTTATCTTTCTATAAAAGATTCAGAATAAGTTTGTCTCGAGAATTCTTTTTAATATCTGAAGGTAGTGTTTAGGTTATGGTTCAAACTGTATCTAAAAGTGCGATTGAAAATTGAATCACATTAAAATGCCTGCTGGAAATTTCAAATATTTCTTAAATACTGTTTTTCTATGAGTTGTTAGAGTCATACAAGTAAGAAAAACCCGTTTCTTTAGGTTAAAGACTCCTAAATTTGAGGTTATGATATTTTAGGCGGTTGTAAAAATCAATAAAGTTCCGAAAAAGGAGAAAAAATAAGGAAAACGCATTGCTAAACTTCTGGAAGTGTCTGTGATTCTCCACAGAAATTGTGGTGTACACAGTTTAGCTACACTATCTCTCCTTTGTAGCAATCGTGGCGAATTTTATGTGCTATGGAAAATCATCTTCACTATCAGCACAAAAACACCCTTTGGTATCAAAGAAACTTTGGCCCATTAATAACAATTAATTTCGTAAACAAACTTCCGCGGTATAAATTTGTCGTAATTTTCAGAAACACCGCTGAAACTTTCACTGTTGCCCACTTTTCGTGAATTCCCCAACGCCTCTTCACTCATGAAAATGAGTTATTCGGAGGCGGTGCAAAAAATTAATTGCATGACTGTCACAAGTGTTGTGCATTAATTAGCATATTCCAGCCAGCGAATTGTCACGGGTGAACACGCCTGAGCCGCCGGCGATGTGAAATCCGAACTGCAGGTGATTTCAGGCCTGCCTTCAGGTGCTTTTCTGCCAGATGAGCCGCCGAAGTGTGCATTATGTCTTCTTCAGCTCAATTTCCCAACCGCCGTGACTAATTGAGGCCACGCCGTGTCAGTGATTCCGGAGATGGTGCGAAAATCATGCCTTCCACATTATCAGGAGGCGAAGATGTGGCTTTATCAGTTGCCGCGCGCGCGCCTGGCAAGACCCCAAATAAGACAGTGTTGTCTGTTTCCAGATGCTCACTCTATCGCAGAGTTTCGCGGTCAGTGAGGATTGTTTAATATTATTTTGATGCTTTTTTCTATGGCCGCCGCGGGGGGAAGTGATCAGAACATTCCCTGGCATCTGGCCAAGGTGTAGAGTTTTCCGTGGCGAGGGAAAAATTTATATTGGGTGCACAATTACCAGAGTATGGATGAAAATAGCCTTTTGGCTTTCGGGAAATAGATACATGGAGAGAGATAGAGAGGAGGAGAGGCTTTTTTTCTCCACACATGTCTCAACTCTTGAGAAAATCATATCACTCGCGGTCGCTCAATTGTTATTTTTATAAATAATTCCATTTTCCGGTTATGCACGAGAGAGATACAATTGACTTTTTTTCTCACATAATGTGTTTCGCTTTTTTATAGATCGCCAAGGTTGGATTTGATTGCGCCGAGGAGGCAGAACGACGTCAAGTAAATTGATGAGACGCGCGGCTTTCAGAACATATTAACTTCCATATCTCGGGTGAGTCTGCAAATTGCATTTGCCGTCCATGCTGTCGTAAATCAGGCACTCTAAGTACACTTCCTGCGCGCAGAGAATCACAGCATATCGCAAGAGGAGGACTTTGGAGAGTGGGTGGAAGCGGCATGCAACGCTGTCCGTATATTCATGAGATGCGAGAACGCCTTCTGCCGCCCCAACAGCCCTCGCCGCCGCTCCATCAGCCTCTGCAGTTTCGCCACCACACGCCCCACCAGCATCCGCCCACGCCGCGCCCCGCCGAGCAGCCCATGGAGCAGGAGCGCGAAGGACTCCTCCTGGACAGCCGCCCCGCGGACGGCAATCAGGTCGGAACGGTGGTCAAGGTAGGGGCTGAGCGGCCCGCGACGGGCCTGACGCCGCCGAATCCCTGAACACGCCACCTCTTTTGCTCTATTCTCTAGTTTACACACTCGACACTCACTCTTCGCCGCCACTCTTTCTTTTGGGCTTCTCTTTCTTTCACTCCCGCCATCGTGGAGAAAATTATGGACACAGAAACACTTGTTACGCTTCATGAAATGTGTGAATTTTCTGACATTTTCAGGATGATAATTCGGCCTTTCAATCGAGAAAACTATGGAAAATCAAAATCGCCATTTTTCAGTTAATTTTATTTTGAAACTCTTGACAGAAATATGGATAAAAACAGAAAATATTACTTTTCAAAGTCGATTTAAAATTATTTTTCATAGTTTTCAACTAGGTATATTTTCTCCAAAACAAATTCTACAAAAAATAATTTTCATATTTTATTTATGGAGTCGCGTTTGATTGCTTGAGGTAATTTTCTAAGAGAAAATGTACGGTGAAAACGATGAAAGATGGCTGCAAAACATAAGAATTCTTCGCTTCATTTCACATTTTTGGATAAACAATAATTAAACATTAGTTTAATGCATTTTTAAAAAAGAAATCTCTAAAATTCTTTATGTCTTCTAAACAGATAAAAAGTTTTCTAAAACTTAAAAAGACGTAATCTTTGAAAAAATAAACTTTTTATACTTCTCGATTCACTCATCGAATTGAAATTGCAGCTGAATGACTCATCAAAGTGCTGAGGAATCATAAAAAAGGAATGTTTAGCGGCATTTCTTGAAAATCATGTAGGAAATATATAAACATGGCACATTTTCTTAAGTCTTAAGACCTATGAAATCATCTTTTCAAAGTCATTCTAATTTTAAAAATCGAAATTGTGTTAATGACTTCTTAATTGCGATCGTTCTGTAGCCAAAAACAGAAAGAAGGTTTGTTGCCATGGGTTAAATGAGGGTTGTTATTGGAAAAAACTTTAACAACCCTCATTTATGTAGATATTAACGATTTATTCTCGCTGAAAGTTGCGCCACAAAAAGAACATAACGCTTGGGGAAACTGTCATATGGACGGTTATTGTATATCTTTTGTGCTTTTCCCCAACTTTCAAATGAGTTCCCCAACATTAGAGGTCGTAAAAGTAAATCTTCTTTCCGATTTACGACCGTGGCAATATTTCTCGAGAGTGATTCGCATTTCGCAATGAAATATTGCATGGAATATTTCGCGCAATCGGAAATGAAGGTTTAGAAATAATGCACAATATGAATTGCCTCTGCATATTTTACAATCTCCACGGAGTATGAAAATCCTGCTAAACTCCTGCATAGCAAATGAGGTGAAATATTGCATTTTGGAGCGCGTTGCGTAATCAATCCTGCAAAAGCGTTCATTCAATTCACACAGCGCCGCTTCTTCGAAATTGCTTCTATACTTTAAGCTGAAAAAAAAGCTCATGAAAACACCTTTTCTTTCCACCTTCCTGTTCGCCACTTTTGCATATATTTTTCGTGTCTTTCATAATTTCTTCCACCACCTTTCCACCCCTCCGCAGTCCTTGCGACCCTCCCGTTGCATTCTGTGAATAAATTATGGGCCATTGTCTGTGACAAAAATGTCCTAATTGCGTGCCTGTTCTCCGTGCTGAAATTAGCTAAATCCCGATGGATATGGCTCACACACGAGCCCAACTCACCAGCGCACTCCCCTCGTGCCCAGGGACTTGGGGGAGGACTTCAGTCTGGACTTCGACGAGGAGCCGCTGGATCCGCGGAAACCAAAAAATGCCAAGTGAGTTCAACACTTTCCACACTAAGAAATCACGTTTTCTTTCTGTTCTTGTCCTCCTTGTTTTTACTCTCCCCCCTTGTCAGTGCTGAAACAAAGCCACAATTGTAGTTAATAATTCTCTCTGTTTGGTTATTAATTCATTAAAAAAAAAAAAGCGTCAGAGTGTCCGTAAGAGAAATTTCCATGCCAGACACTGAAAAAATATTACACGACAGAATCTCGATGAGACGAAAAAACATTAACAGCAATTATTGTTTGTTTTCTTTCTTTTTTTCTTTTGAATTTTCAGCACATTTACTAAAGATATTGGATATTACATTCGAAGCCAAAAAAGGTCAGAAAAATATAGAAGGCAGACTTCACAATAAGCTAAAGTATCACCAAATTAGTCAAATAATTCCGTCACTTTTTTTCTCTCTCTCTAACCATGTGAAAAGAAATCACCATAATTCTGCACTAAAATGAAAAACTGACAGAAAAATGTGTGTTCGATAGTTCACTGTGCACTTTTCTAACATGAGATGGGTGGATTTGTACAGTGTTTGCGGCTTTCTTGGGGAATTCTTAAGCACAGAATCTACAAGAATTGTACCCAAGCAGCACACATTGATCACATCAGAGACAAAAACTTGTAATTTTTCATGAGGAAAGTCACACGCGATGTCAGATCATTAACTTTGTGGTTATAAAATCATTTTTTTGTAAATGTTTTTTATTATTGAAAATCTTAAAGGACAATAAATGTCAGAAAAAGAAGGTAAAAATGAGAAAAATAGTTATAAAATTTGCCACAAATTGGATTCAAATCACAGCGCCAAATTTTAAAGTTTAAACTGCTGCCCTCTGGCGGCAGTATGAGGCAAAATAATCAATTTTACTTGAAAAATTATCATTTTCTTATTATTTTTATTGAAATTATGATTATTTGATTTTTTTTTCTATGCAAAATTAAAAGCAATATTTTAATATTTGCTCGAGGCGATTAGGATTATTACTTGTGCGACTTTCCTTTGTATGTTTTATGAATGATCATGTGAAGAACCCCCCGAAAAGCCCGTGCAAGTTCACCCCTACTCGAATGTAGTGACTATAACAAGCTGTTTCGCTGTCGCAGAAATACTAACATCTTGTATATAAATGTTTTCATGCGCTCAAAATAGCCCCATTTCCACACTGTGTGATAAAATAGCGTGTGTAAGGATTTCGAAGGGACAGAATGTGTGTAACAAGTGTTTTCAGAGCATCGCTTCGAGGCCAGACATTCGCTTTCGCAATTGTGTGATTGAGGAGACAGCTCGAGCATCCGCCAGAAAGATGAATTTCCTGCGAATGTGGGACAGCGTGGGGTGGAGAATGTGCATTTGACGCGGGGTGTTAAATGGCTAAAATCAATAGTTTGCGTCCCTTCATCCAACTCAATTTCCCGCTGCGATGAGGCATAATTTCATGGAGGGTGACCTATTTTCACGTCCAACGATCAATTTCATTGCTATTCCTCCGGCCAATTGTAGTAAATTCTTTCTGTTGTGCTCCTGTCTTTGCCACGTTGGTCGACTGGGAAGCGTAGGGAGAATTCCCACTGATAAAATCTCGTCGCTTTGTCCCGCACACCATGAGAAAACGGAAAATCGATGTGGAAATGGAGGGAAACATTCCCTTTATTGCACGCTATCACGTACTTTTCCAATTGAAAATGAACTTTTTCCCTCCACCAGCGAAATTATTTCCCCAAAATTAACGGTCCGGGACCGTATTTCGTATGGAAGTGGTTAACTTTCACAGGTATTCCTTGGCACATATCTTAAGTTGGTGGGTAATCTTCTGAATCGATAAGATAATCTTGTGTGGTGTGTATATTTTGAGGAATTATGCGGCCTATAAAAATATGTATGTATGAGATAATTTGCGTATTAAAGTGAAAATGGGACAAATATGTGCCTTTGTTGCAGGATTATGCTCGTAATCATACAATAAACACTTTTCAAAAGTCACGAGGGGTTAATCAGACAGTGAGAAACTCTTGTGAATGGCTGGAAGGTGTGTTTACGTCTCTGTGACAGTTTTACGACAAGTATATGACGACATTATGTGGAACAGTTTCACATCATTTTCTCTGATTAATCAAGTAATAGTCCGTTATGGATATTCATAAAAATTACATGGGATGTCATTCAAATTCAAATTTATCATGGACGACATTATAACGTAATTTTGCCCTTAATTGCAATCTCCGCGGGAAATCGATTGTCCCGACTGAATAACCCATAATGCTGTCCATTAATTTCGCGATGCAAATTGAATAGGCGAATTAGGGAGTTTGGCGGAGCCCTATAAGCCACCCATTGTCACCCCTTTTCACAGCTCCCCAGGAGGCAGCGGGGTGTATTTGAGGGGATTTGTCACGGCGTAATGCCCTTCCTCGGCGCGGAAAATGATGGTGAGGTGCTTCAGAAGTGGGATTTCACCCCGAATCGTCCCTTTCGCTCCCTGAGGGAACAATCGATCGATACTGGAGGGAAGTTTCCGGATGCTGTCCGGATGAACTCACCAACACAGCTGAAGAGGGTGCATCCTTCGCCGTACACTCTCACACACTCTGCCAACTTTCACCCCTCACGCAGAATTTCTCTCTGAATGGCGAGAGAAAGTGCAAATACTACGTCGCATTGTGGCGCAGTGGCGAAGGATGGAAAGGGACCACAGCATCGGCAAAGGACTTTCACGGAGGCTTTGTTCGCCAGCGAGGAGAGGAACTGGAGAGAGGATGTCTCTCGCAGGGTGAAATGGAATTCCAAGAGCGATTCTGCCTTCATTCTATCTGTGTGTCTTGTGTGAGGAAAGCGCGCTAAAATACGGTGTCATTGATATGATAACAATATCTCAGTAATATCTTTGGAAAGTGGTAGTGAAAATGTAAAAGACTTTTTTACACTCAGTCACACAACATTTTACCGTCCATGGTTTGATGGCTTGTGCTTCATTTCAACTGAAAATTTGCACTCATCCATTTGGTCCATTGTCCTCAGCGGGGAAAAATTCTCAAGACTTTCCGCCAGTATTCAAGAGGAAAAACGCAATTTTGCCTTTGTTTAAAAGTTTTTCTCGCATTTCCGCACAATTTTTCACTACTTCAGATATATTTTACGCCCTTTTTCACTCATTTTTCCGTCGAAGCGGCATAATTTTTCCCAATAGCATTTTTCATTTGGGCGCCATTATTAAACTCGATTTCCCTTCTCGAAAGACTCAGTAATTTCCGCTTTTCTCGGACGCTACACCCCCGCAAAATCAAGCAACCTTTGTATATTCCACTGGTCTTCCTGGATTCCTGATTTTCTCATGGATTTCCCGTGGTTTTTGTGACTTTTTTCCCAAATGTGGAGGTCACTAGGTCGCCCGGGCGGCCAATCATACAACCAACAGCTCGGCCCCACCCACCTATATAGCACAGCATCGGATACCTCTCTCGTGTATCCACGTCGAATCCAAAGTGCGCAACATCTCCGATGCTCTCACCGAATCGAGAGAACTCGCAGAGATTCTTCCCAAACTTTCACAGCCTCTCCTTCGAAATTCTCCTTCGCGCGGACAAAAAACCCCAAGCACAGTCCATTGAACCCTGGGTGATCCTCCTCAAAACAACTCTCTGTTCGTCATTAATACTAGAGCAACATCGAAATTACAACCAGATTTGGTGGCACTGAAAAAATCACCCTCAGTTCCAACTGCATCATCTTCAAATGAACTGAAGGTGCGCGAGGCGAGTGATGAGAAATTGAAGAGATTCCGCGAGAGAATCTTGAGTGAACAGTGAAGGAAAATTTTGCGTGAGGACATTGACTTGCGGAAGAGTGCGGAAAAATGGGTGGCCCCGATGTTAAGGTGGCCACAGTAGATGTGGAGAGTGGCGACAATATGGCTACGCTGCCCGTCTCGCGGGCACACACTGGCGGAAGTGGCGACACGGCCGAGAAGAACAACGCGGCCAACAAGGAGATGGAGCTCAAGAATGTCGTCCCGAAGCCGCTTCAGAGGTTTCCACCATTTTGACTTAGTTTCCCGTGTAGAGTTAAGAATTTGGGTGTGTTGCTTGGGTCACTTGAGGGTTTTGGTTAGGGTTTCGAGAGGAATCTAGAGAGTAAGGCTTTAAAACTCACCCATTTCACCCTGCTTTTTGATTTACTCACCATCACTCAGAATGTGAAACACCATTAATCACGCCCACTAATCTCAACTCATACCTCTGCCACCTAATTAATTGCCATCGGTTTTCCCGCGGGCGCAATGCTAACTTGAGGGTTTCTTCTAGGACTTCCCTCTTCATAGTGACCAGCCTGGTCTATGCCATGCTCCTTGTGGTGGTGTGCGTCGCCTACGTCATCAGCGACGTGAGCACTCACCGCATCCCCGTGATGTACTACGAGGGATTCTTCACGTATCTCTACGGCGCGAGCATCCTCTTTCTGCTCTACGTCTTCTGCTTCCTGCTGCAAGGTGAGTGCTTGACCCAATTGGCGCGCAATGCTCAGCGTGACTGAAGTGGTTCTGTTGCAGAGAGCACTTGCTGTGCTGGTGGCGAGAAGCAGCCGAAGCCGGTGAAGGAGAAGAAGCCGAAGAAGGAGAAGAAGCCAAAGAAGGGGGACCCGCCAGAGGGAAAGGATGCCAAGGGTGCAAAGGACAAGGACAAGGACGCCGCCAAGGGCGGCAAACCCAGTCCATTCCAGGTAAATATGGAGTGTCTGCTTAGCCAACCATGTCGCAATCAATTACACTGTCAATTAAAACGATTTGCATGAATAACACTGAGACTTTCTCAAATTTATTAATCACTTCGGTATGGATTAAAATCTCTATCTGTCTCAACTTTTGCGTTGCAACTGTAAATTTGGATAAATATTTCACTCTTGTTTTTGCGTCTCTCACTTATGATTCTTTTAATTTATTTGCCTTTGTTCATTTTCGCAAATTAAAATACCATATGTGTTATACTGTTGTATAATTCTCACACAAATCACAACAGGAGGTCTTACCGAAAAAGAAACGCGATTTGGTGCGCGAGCAATCGCTGCAAAAGGTATGAGCTTTGTGGTGGACGAAAAAAACCAGCTAAAGACCATTTATTGCGATACCAAGACATGACAGTGTGTTCAATTATCTGCTTTCGTCTTCTAACACTTTATTTACTTTCGTTGATTGATTTCTTTTGAGTATTTTGTGCCATGCTTTGAACAAACTCTAACCTGTGACCTTCTTTGTGAGTCTTTTTGGACAACAAGAGATAACATTCAGAGTGTGACCAAAGAAATTGACTAACCAAAATCTGTGTGCCTAAATTCAACTTCTTCCCAGTGTTTTCAATGTTGATTGGCATGCGTGTTGATGATCTAAAAACGCAACCGAATTGGCCTCCAAAAGGTGTTCCTCCGGAATCGCAATCTGAAGAACTGTGTTGTTCAAGGACTGTTCTCAATAATAATTTCAGACTATCAAATTCAATTTTCAGGACACCACAGTCGAAGCGGAAAAGGCACCAACCCCGAAGAATGTGCGCAAGAGGAAGACCACCCAGAACAACACCACCCACGGAAGTTTCTTCCTCCGCGTCGGTGCAATTGGTACTTAAGGCCCTATTAATAGCCTGTGGACAAACATCTCACTCACTGTCTCTTTCGCAGCCTTCGGATTGGGCACAATGATTTACACTGGCTTGGAATTTGGCTCATTCTTTGAGATTCCCTTCGATTCGCCGTGCCATCAAATTTTACGCGGTGTTAATCCTCTTCTGCAGATGATCTTCACATTCATGCAGATGTATTTCATCTTTATGAACGCGAGAGTGAGTCTTTTGATCGCTTGGCATGGTGGGTGAGACGCTCATTAAATCTATTTTCAGTTGAACATCCATCGCTTCAAAGTGTTGGCTCGCTTTGGACTGATGCACATTGTCGCTACGAATGTTTGCGTGTGGATTCGGACCCTAGTCTTGGAGTCTCTCAAAGAGATCACTTTATACCATCAGAATCGCAAGCCATCACCTGAAGATGGCGCTATTCTAGGTGAGACAGACCGTAAGAGTAAATTGCAGCCAAGAAACTAAGCCTATGTTTCATTCTGTAGATTCCATCCGACGACACACTCTGAAGAACGCAGGGACTGTCATGGGAACCCACCTGGAACCGGACTTCGAATGGGAGCCGCTGCACTCCAACATGAACGTCCAGGAGGCTTCGTCAGCCGAGTCTCCAGCAAACATCCTCTCTCGCATCGTGAAGAGCACCGCTCAAGGAGTGACTGAAGGTCTCGCTGAGGATCTGGACAACCCAACAACCTCAACGACCACCACATCGGCACCAGTGACCACCTTTGCCCACACCACAACGACCTTCTTGCGCAAACTGAAGCGTGCCACTTCGGCTCCGACCTCAACTGAGACTGAAACAACAACAACCGCTCCCCCAACGACTTCCACTTCGACTCTGGCCTCGATCTTCGCTCTGTTCTCGACATCCTCCACCACAACTCCGACTCCAGCTCCGGCAACGACTTCCACAACCACTGAGTCCTTCTTCAACAACTTGTTCGGCTTCGACCAACACTCGTATCAGACTTACTCGGGACTGGCTCACAATACTAGCAACTCCTTGGACCAGACCTTCGAGAGCCTAGACTCGCTGTTCCCGTCCGCTTTCACTGCGTTCCTGCCTGTCAACACCTCCAACTCAACCAATGCGACAAACTGCGGACGCGTCAATATCATGGGGACCATTGTCCAGGACTCAGCTCCGTATCTCTATCCCTTCATCATTGAGTACTGTCTGATCGGAGCAGTGGTGATTTACGTGATGTGGCGCCAGATTGGACGATATCCTAAGTGAGACTTTCAAAACCCTTCCTTAAGACAGTTCCCTAATTTGGTTTCTCCTGTTCCAGGTTCGCAACTGAAGAGGATCTGGAACACCGTTTAGAAGTGATGCTCTCACGTCGTGCTGTAGCCATGGCTCAGGCTTCCTCTGGACGAGTTGACTGCGTTGGAGCTTCCAAGGGATTGTTCTTCGGTCTGCTGCTCCTCGTCGGCTCTCTGATTTGCCTGATTCTGTTCTTCGTGCTCGTTCGTCATCCGCAACTCTCTCTTCTGGCCATCTACCTTGCTGACGTTTCTCACAGTGCTCTCATGGCTTTCTCCGTCATCGCAATACTGATCGGATTCTGCCGGTGAGATCTGAAAGGAATCTAACTCGTTATCCGTGCTAAATCTATGCTTGAATTTGCTTCTAGAGTTCAACACTTGAAGTTCCGATGCGAGGACCAGAGCAATCTGAATGACATTCTGCTGCGCATCTCTGCCTTTGGCTTGTTCACTTATTCGGTCTTCAGTGTGATTTCCGGTGCTCTGAACTTCTTGGAGAGTGAACCAAATCTACTGGTCTGCGTTACTGGAGCTCTGGCTGTTCTACAGGTGAACTATTTCATCACTTCTTTTCGACGTTTTACTGACTTTCTGTCTGTTTGTAGGTTATTTTCCAACTTCTCTTCATCGCTGATGTGTCCAGACGTCGAGTCCATCTGCCTGAGCACGATAGAAGCAAACCAGGTCGTCAAATTGTCACATTCTTGCTCATCTGCAATATCTCCATGTTTGCCATCTACACTTTCGAGGCGCAGAAAGTCTTTGCAAATCCGGTATGATCGCATTTGGTGACACTCGAGAATATGGTGAATTAACAGGTTTTTCTTTTGCTTTCACTCAAGGTTCAATTGGACTTCTATGGCTTCATCGCCTGGTCTCTGATTCAGCGTGTTACACTTCCACTGTGCATATTCCATCGATTTCACAGCGCCGTCACTCTGGCCGAAGTGTGGAAGACCACATACAAACCGCGCTTGGAATAAGAGCCCGACAACTCTGACTCAATTTCTCAGAATTAGCATTTTGAGCTGAAGAGAAGTAGATTGTGGTTACTCTCCAATGGACTCCATTTAATTTCCTTAGACAGGATTTCTCTCACGTCCAGAATGGCAGTAATGAAGCATAATAATGAGAATAGAGTAGAATGAAAAGAAAAAAAAACATTTAATCAAATCACAATTAATCAAAGGGTGAGCAGAACAGATGCAGGATTCCTTGTGGGTTGGCTAGGATGCATAACTAACACGATAATGGTCCGATTAGAAGAAATTTTGACGAAAAGTGAATAGAACCAGATTAAGTATAGAAGATGTCTGAATATTTCTCTAAAGATGGAGGAGAAAACGTCGTACATTACTAAAAAAAAAAAATTAATTCTTGTTCCGAATCTGTGTCTAGGTGTTAGGATAATGAAAATGAATCATAAACTTATACAACACTTAGAACATTAACCATTTCTCACGAAGGCGGACAAAGACTCCTTCTGAACCATTATTCATTTCGACAGAGCCTCCAAAAGGGGGTTTATCTTCATGTCTCTGGCATTAGTGATTTTCGAGACGCACATATTTTGACGTTATGAGAAGCGAGTTTCACCAGAATTGCGCAGAAATCTTCCAGGTTTTGATATTCTTGTAAAAGGATTGGCATGATGGTGCTAAACTTATTCAAAAAAAATTTGTTTTACTTCATTTAAAAACAAGTTTAAAGAAAAAAAGGAAACTTCACCAATACAAAAAAAAATTGACTATTAAAGTTTTGACTTCGATTTTATCCAAAGATGAGAAATTTGTTAATACTCAATTGGTGAAAAGTACTTACAAAGACAAGTATCAATATTGAAAAAATGTGTACTTTGAATTCGCTTCATACTGGGACTGCATTTTTGTACTCGTCTACTTTTTATATTAGGAAGTATGAGAATATTGAGAAAACATGTTTTTATATAGAAATTTCGATGAGAAAATTTTCACAGTTGATAGTAAAAGAAAGAATAATAAAAAAAATTATTGACAAGAAATTTTATTGTGTATAACAGAAAATGAGAAAAAAATTACATAAAACATAACTACTGTTCTTTGACGAAAAGAGGTATAAAGCAACATTAGAAGATTCACAGTGAAAATTGTGGACAGAAGAGAGTAAAAGTTAAGGAAAACAAAATAACTAAATAGAAAATAATGAAAAAAAAAATATTATCGTCAGATATTCCCAAATAATTATACTAAAGGATGAAAAAAAAAATTGTAAGCGCATATTGTATCGGTTTTATCTTGAGCGTTGAACATTATATAGAAATGATGCAGACGGTTTTTCACACAACATCTTTCTTATCCTTTTTCGCAAATTTTCGATGATGACATTTTCTAGGCGGAACACAGAACAATTGCATACATAGATGTAGACATTGCTCATGTCGTTTTGGAGAATAGTTGCGAAAATAATGGTAATGAGAAAACCCACCAAGAATCCTTTTTGCAAGAGGTTTTCACACTCTCTTGAGGATGTATTTAACATTTTTTGAGAATTTGCACCAATGAGGACCAGTTACATTCATTAGACAGAAAGATTATGATGAAATGAATAACCATGAAAATCATTTAGCGAAGAAGAATCTCATGCATCGATTTACGATAGATTTTACGAAACAATTTTGATGACAGTGAAGGAAAGACTAGAAAGGACACAAGAACACACTTTAATGTCTTGTCTAAAGTCTAAAGATAGAAGCAAATGAAGAGACTTTTACTGAGGACACATTTTTCTACCCAATGAGGTGTAATGGAACAATTCTTTATAGCGTCCAAAGGGCGCGAGAAAAACACTTCTGGAAAAAATCTTTATATCTTGAATGTATCAATCTTCATGAATTGTAATTTTTTCCAGAGTTGACAAATTCACAGCAGAGAAGATTTATGGATATTTTTCATGATGTGAAAACATATTGATATTGAGGCGTTTTTTGTATTAACCCAAAATTACTAGTGATTTATTTGTCTAATATTTGTCCTTTTTTTCATGTAAATAGGAATCTATTGATAAAGTGAATCTTTATCCAAAAAAAATGGGGGAAATCCAATCTGTCCAAAAAGGAGGCACTTTATCCACACATTTCACCCAATTCTTCCCATGTTCGGACTCTATTTTCTCTCCGAGAGATTTTTATCGTGTAAGATAGGTTTGCACTAAAAGTTTGTGTGATACAGTTTTATGTCTCTTTACACTCTGATCCATCTTATTAAGCAACTTGTAATTCTTATCAAAAAATCAAGTGAATTAAATTCCCTCTGAATGGTTGCGAAAATTGAGTAACTTTCCAAACATGTGTTAATTTCTTTGTGTAGTTTTTTTTTTTAGACAAAAACACATCTTGTGAATTAAGGAAACACTGCCATTTTTTCAATTGACGACAATTGAACAATACTAAAAGTCTGTGAGCACACAGAGTCACAGATGAGAGCTCAAGTTTAATTCTTACGTATTTCCATCCCTCCTCGTAATCTCAAAAAAAATAGATTTACTTTCAGAAGTGACACAGAGAATCACAGTAATAAGAAAAAGAAACATTGAAGAAGCAATTAGAGGCAGACAGAGCGATAGAAATTGGCATGAGCAATTCATAATCAATTGTTATTTAAAACTTAGAGATTAGTTGATCAGAGAGTTGACAAGAAATGTGAAAAGTAACCAATAATAATTTATTTATACTTGTATTTATTTCTGATCGATGAACGAGTGAGATAATTTGCAATGCTGCATTTTTGTGTAAATTTTCCGCCCTTTCTTCTCCCCTAAAAATTGCAATGATAATTTGCATTGGCACTTTGCTGGGAGAATTCCTTTGATTATCAACTCAATTTTTTGTGTAATCTTGTATGAAGATGGAGAAAATTTACCACAAAGCAGTGTATTATATTCAAAGGTATGAGTTACGATTGAAGGCAAGCTGAGGACATGCGAAGGAAATATCAGAGGAAAATTGTAAGGAGTGAGGATTTGTGACACTCTCTAGTAGCGGTATAATTTATTGTACAAAAGAAGATAAACAAGAAACAACAAAGATGTACTTAAAAGATATGATAACATACATATGCTAAATTACGTTAACGATACTGTCGTCTTTCACTTTCGCTCGCGATTTTGATGGACAGCTCGCCCAGCGGAGGATTCAATTAGGACCCTCGGATGGATTATTGGGTGGAGACTGGCCGCAAATTACCATAATCCATCAAATAGGTGACTATCAGCCCGAATCCGCGATAGAAGGTTGCGCGGGAATAACATGCATTAGCCACGGTTCAACCTTCCGGCTGTCAATCTATCTGTCGTCCTGCACAATTTATAAGACGCCGATGGACTCCCGGCAGGCACAGGTCCATATCTCACCTCGCCCAAGACGATGGATTGCCTAATAGATCCTCATTATGGCCACTTTGCCCTCTAATTTGTGGCGGTCTCGCGGTTTTGTGGCCCTTTTTGCAGCGCACAAATCGACGGGTGCTCCGAAAACTGTATCAAAAGTCAGTTTGAGGTTTGAAATCGCTCTTTTCCATCATGTTTCCTTTTAAACTCTCTGGTTGTCTTCCAATAAATTGAATAATATTATAGAAAAATCCATAAGAATTCAACTCTCAAAAGTCGACTTTCATTAGCTTTCGATGAACCCGTCGAGATGTTCCCGCGGGTGAAATTTGGCGCGCTTCACCCTCAGCTGGAGAATTTATGGGCGATCATTCGAATTTGAGTAGAAAAAACAAGCTTTATTGTGTCTCGCTATCTTACAGATATTTCAATGGAATCTCGTTAGAATGGAATTGTCTGATAAATCTCCCGAAGCTTGAATAAATAGCGATTTTCTACAGCATTCACCAGTATCTTTGGGTCCAGAGCTTTCCCGCCGGTGAGTACTTGGCCTTGTAGCCGTGGTGTCCGTGCGGGGAGCTGTGGTACTGATGGTATTCCACGGGCGAGGACATCTGCAGCGACACTCCGTTGTGGCTGTTGAAGAAGTAGGCGCGCGGCGTGTAGTTCTCAACCTCGACAGTCGGCGCGGGCTGGCTGATCACGTGAGGGCTGGAGATGTGATTGAGGCTGCTGTAGCGACCGTGCATTTGGCCGTGGATTGGCTGGTGGATGTCGCAAATGGTGCCGGCGGTGAGTCGATGGAGAGGCGCTTGGAAGATGCGGAAGTTGACGTCTTTGTAGTCCAGCTCGGCGATCAGGAAGTTGGGCATTCTGTCCGAAATCACCCACACGTCGTTGTTGAAGTCAATCTTCACGTCCGCGGGGAAGCTCAGCGCCTCGTCGTCTCTGTCCACGACGTCGTGATAGCGCGGCGTGTAGGGCAGCGAGGAGTGCCAGCACCCGACGGCGTTCTGGTCGATCAGATTGAACAGCATCAGACCCTTGTCGCTCATCACGCGCGAAGTGGTGTGGCCGAGATGAGAACGCTCCTCGAGATACTGGAAGTCGTGGAAGGAGTCCTCAACTCTCTTCTCGTCGCGCAGAATCCTCGTGGACACCGCGAACTCGCGATGACTGGCCAGAGGACTGAAGAAGAGCGTCCGGAAGCCGTCAGGATTGAAGGGCGACAAGGCCATGCCGAAGATTCCCTCCTCGCCCCACTGGAAGTTCAGTCCGCCGATGTTGAAGTCTCCTCTCAGAGGATCAGGGAAGAAGAAACTGTGCGCGAAGCGCCACGACTTGTTCTTCTCCCAAGAATACACAACGAGTCCATATCCTGAAAAGACACAAACAACACTTTGTCTTATAAAGAATATCTTTCCATCACTTTTTGCTCTTTTCGTGGGCAACTTTCTCGCGTGTCAGCATAAATACACTCTAAAATGGCCTTGGATAAAAATTTGACTAAGTTAATTAGCAATTTTTTTTTTCTACTTCTCAGTCGCTGAATCAATCGACCGTAAGCTGAATTCCATATGCGCCACTAAAATGTGATTTATATAGTAATTAGTGGATAAAATTTAAGCAGTTTCCATTAGAATATTTCACAATAATATTTCTGGAATTACCTGAATGTTAATTAATGCACTGAACGCATGATTTCTTTTGCGTACGCTCTCAATTTGGCGTCTCAAGCATTTGGCTAAGAACATGGAAACTAGTTTCGCCAAGTGTTTCTTCGCCCTTTCTAATGCAAATCACGTGAAAAGTGGGCACAATGGAGTGCTTTTGTATTTATCAAGGGGGAGATATTATGGTCAGAAGTGGTGTACAGATCAGTAGGAGTTTGGAAAGATTTTAATTAAGAATAAGATAATAAAAAGTTCAATTAACAGCTAAGAATCGTTAGATTTCAGTTGGTTTTTAGTTGATTTTTTTAGTCTTGCTTGATTTAAATCATATTTTCTTCCCCTTTTCCATGCAAATCACGTGAAAAGTGATTGAGCGCGAGAAAGGCTCACTTTCATAGCACATTGAAGTGCTTTTGATCGCGCGTGATGTCTTTGACTCACCCAGTTCGTCGGACATGTAGGCATAAGTGTCCTCACAAGTGGCGCCGATGTCAACAGCGATGTTGGCTATGAAGGTGTTGGCGTTGGTGTCCTCGGGCCTGAAGACGTAGCGCCTGATTCTCCTGTTGGTGCCCAGATCGAAGACGTTGAGCGCATAAGGACAGGGATTCCTCGTGGTGTTGCCGATGCCCAGAGTTCCGGTGTCCAGGACCCAGAGACGTCCACAGATGTCCGCCTTGATGCGGTAGACAGTGTTCAGGCCGTTGGGACAGTCCTCGGGCGCGTTGCTCTTCCAGTCCGGATAGGGAATGAGCGCCGGCGATCCCGAGGGCGTCTTGTCGAGATCGATGTACGTGAGCGTGGCGGGAATTCCTGGAGATTATTAACAGATTTCTTAGAGTTTAGCGTGGAGAATTCCCCCGCAAAAAACTAACATGAAGCAATAAACCCATAATATCTCTACACTGCTGAAAATGGAAGATTTTCAACTTTGGGTTTTTGAATCTGCGTCACAACATGAGTCACTCCTCATCTTTCCCCCCATTATTCTCAGTGTACAGTGAACTCTTGTGGTTTTCCGAGTGCATTCTTTTATATTCATCATAAAAGCAAATAACTTTTTACGCGCTCCTACATTAGCGACAGCAACAACTCCGACACTATAATATTGTGTATTAATATCAACCTCGATGCTTTCCGCCGTCAATCTCTTGAGATATCTTTGGAATTGCAAAAGACGTAAAATGAAATCTAGAGCAAATACACTCTCGGATTATATGTTTTTAATTGATTTGAGCCTTAGGCGAAAATGAGTGGGTCTCAGCCGTCATTTCGAGCCTCAACTGCCATCGGGTGTCGAATAAACATTGTATTTGCCTATGATTTTCGCCGCACGATTTAATTGACAAGTCAGAAAGGGTGGATTTTGGCAAAAAAAAGCGCGCATGCTTCAGAGTATCTCGGGTGAACAATCTCAATATCACGGTCAAGTATTCCATAGAGGTTCGCGCTGAAGCAAAACAGTCTAGACAATGAGTGAATTGAGACGTGAAGTAAAAATAGTGGAGAATTTACTTAACCAACCATTATGCAATGTAATAGAGAGTCTGAGCAAGGTGAATATTTGAGACAGATCTCGATGCTGTGGATTTGAGCATAAATGAGAGTAAATCATGACAAGCTGAGGCCGAGAGATAGTGAAAAACGAAACAATAAAAACAATTTGGCACACATTCCCAAATTCAGCCGCACTCGGAAATGAATAATAATTGAGCAAAATAGGAGAATCTATTAGGCAATCAATCGATTTTATTGTGCATTTGTAATGTAAAATTAAATGCGGTGAATTTGACTGACGAAGCACTGCTTCACTCACACTTAAAATGCAACACCTCGTAAAATGTAATTCGAACTGTCTTGAGACGCTTAATGACTGCAAATTATATAATATGGGATGTAATTGCAGACACAGAGAGGAAAAGAAGTGTTTGAGGAAAATACTTTGGCGCATTCTGGAGAAAATTAATCATATGATCTCTAATTAATCACACAAACTTGCTGTATGTTTAGTGCTTGATTTAGTGTGATTTCCCGTGGGGAATTATTAATGAAATGCAGTGGAATTTTTGTGTAGACATTTCATTTGACGAATGGTCAAAGCGACCGCCAAAAATCTCTAAACTTGCTACAGTTTTACATTGATTTTTTTTTAACATTTGTCATAACGATCTCTTGCGAAGTGCGATCAATGCTCAGTGGGTGGAAAAGTACAGAGCATTTCGCAATGCGTCCAAATAAAATTGGATCAAATTTGTCAAATTGAGTGAACACAGAAAGGGCAAAAAATGCGTCTCAGCTCAAATTCGTAGTCCAATTATGCAATGCACAGCAGTAATATTGTTTATTACACTGAAAGTATTTGTCAAATGGGCAAAAAGAGGGCTCGTGAGTGACTTCGCAGACTGCGTCTTACCGTCCTTCCATCGTGGCACGGAGACGAAGAGTTTGTTGCCCCAGTGCTCGATGCCCACAGGAAGTCCATTCCTGGGCAGATAGGCGCCACTCTGGAGAGCCTTCTGCTTCAGCGCCGGATTGGGAAACTCAAAATCCAACTCCTTCCACCAGAATCGCTCCTGCAGCTTCGCGACACTCTCCACATCGCGACAAATCACGGAAATCACAGCTAAGATCACCAAACACTTCATATTGTCTCAACTTCACGAGCACTTCTGCCCTGACTTGGTGTGAGCCTCACTGAGAATCAACTGCTGCCACAAAACTGCAAGGCGCAGTATTATATTTGAACCCCCACCTCGCTCTTGAGGCTCACCACCCAGCGATCGTTACCAATTTACACCGCGAGTCGCGCCAAGAATTTACCCAAATCCCCACCGAAAGTCGGCGCATAAGGAGAATTTGCATGCGCATTCTGCCAAAGAAAGGCGCCACAGATTACTATGCGTGCGACCGCCAAGGAAATGTGGAAGAGCAGATGAGCCTTAACGCTCAAGCTTCACCCTCGATGGGCATCAGGTTCAAGAGCACCTGAAGAATTGCTAAAGCGTCGTCCGGTTGACCTTAGGAAGACCACTTGAGGCAATTTTCACATATTTCCCGCTGTTCTCTAATCATGTGTTGAGTCTTTTCAATCGCAATTGACCCCATTGAATAGAAAATTGGGAGTGTTCGCTGTCGATTAATCGGCAAGATAGGCAAAAGGACATTGCTAGCAAATTACATTTGGCAAGCGATGAATGGCGCTTTTATTGCTCGAGTTTGTGGCATAAAAGCGAGGAGAGTATCATTGTAACACATCGGATGACGAGGAAAAGTGATTCTTTTTTGAGCAAAATTACATTTTCACGCCATAAAAGTCATTCAAATCTCGCGATTCGCGAATAAAGCCAGACACTTCTGAATGCTTCTCAACTATTACGAAATTTCTATGTTAAATACCAGCGAGCATGCTGCGAAATATCCATAATGACTGCTAATCTAACACTTTTCTCGGCTGGGCGAATTAAAACACTGCGCGATTCAATTATGCGATTGGTAAAAATTGAACACGCATTCACGCAGTTTCTTGAAGGCTGCATAAATTGGCTCAAAATCTGCTACCGGGAGAAATTACATCAAGTTTTGCCTTTTGCAGATGACTTCCTAAGACGCGTCTCGCCATTTAATTAATATTAATTAATTTTTCAGTGAAGACGAACTGTCGGAATCACTTTTCACTTCTTCCATGTAAAGAGAGATGTTATTGCTTTCAATGGCGTGATAATTGCTCGGATTACACGCAATTTGATTGTTTATTTTGTCACCCAAATTAACTTGTAATTGTCCAGCAATGCGTGAAGAGAAAAATCTCCCATAATCCATGCGAGTTTCTGAAATTCTACCATCAGTCATACATTTTTTTTTCGTGGCACACTTAAATAAGACGTAAAGTGTCTGAAATTTTTGTCATGAATGAAGAAAAAAAATGTGTGTAAATAAGCATATTTTTGCAGTGGCGAAAAAATGTGTTGATGCGGTAAATTGATTTGCTGTAAAACTCCATCAAAATCGCAAATCATTTAGCAGATCTTCGAAGCTGAAATAATTGTTCTTGTAATGTTAAGTGTGAATTGAAAAGAATTCTCACACTTGTGAACATTACAGAGCGAGAAATAAAGCCAAAGTAATTCAACTAATAAATCAGCGTTCCAGAAGTGAAATTTATTCAATGGAAATCCGTGGCATTTGCAGTGTTGTTACAGGAAGTGCACGTCAAAAGCAAAAACGGCAGTTTACATGACATTTTAGGGGTTTAGTTCACGTTTTATTAATCTTTGAGAATATAATGTCTAATTTGCGTAAATTTTTAAATACTAATTTGTATTGTTCCTTTTTTCGCGTTCTCAATCTAATAGCCTAATAAAATGCCATTTATTCGGTCCGATTGGGTGAATTAAATATTGAGAGGTTCACAGAACAGTTTGAAATAATAAAAATAAAGTGTTTCCCAAGGGGGAGATAATATTCTCTTAATTTGTACATCACATCCTAACATTTCCAGCGCTGCAAATTGACTGTTTTCACAATAATTCCTAAAGTATAATAAAGAATCTTTAGGTTCCATGCGATATTTCCGTCAAAATCCACTTAAAAACGCCTTTTTGAGCATCTCTTCTGACCATAACCTCAAAAATATCAATAATAAATCTTAAAAGACTCCAATTGAAAACAATAAAATAATCATTTCAATGCAAAATCGCTGATTGAAAGTGAAAATCGTGTAGAAAGTAGTCTAAGTAAACATTTTCTAAGTTCACAATATTCTTTTCGAGGTTATGTTCGACTTCAACAGAATTTGGAGCGTTTTTTGGCATTAAAGATTCAGAATAGCCAAGTTTATTGCATATTAATGCTTAATTCGTACAATGAATAGCAGTTTTGGCGACCTTATCATAAGATTTGATGTGCTAGAATGCGAAATATTTACTAAATTGTCATGACATAACCTAGAAAAAGATTGTTTCTTCGCACAATTCAAAAGAAATCTAAAGAATCGAAATGCTTTAGTCAGTAGAAGAAGCACGCAGGGAAGAAATATTGTAAGTTTCTGAACACTTCCACTTCTTAAGTACTTCTGCTGATCTGTACATCACTTCTGACTATATTATCTCCCCCTTGGTGTTTTCCTTCAGTTTTCTTGAATGATAAAAATGCGTTCGAATTTTTATATTTGCCTCAGATAAATTACCAGATATATCAATTAGCTCAAGTAAAGTAAGACTGAAACGACTGAAATGTATCAAATCTGTCAGGCAAAATGGATTGAAGACAAATTGTTGGTCAATTTACAATTCCACTAGAGAAGTAATAAAATTTCAAGACATGTCTTTCTCTCGATAATTATCTCGGTTGCCGTTGCGCAACTCTGCAACACTTCGGAAGGTTTTTGACTTAGTGATCCTGTAATTTTATCTAAGCAAGATCATCGCTTTCGCGCCGATCGTCTCGTTATACAATTATCCATAATTCGCGATGAAGTTATCCGGCTTCTGAGGCGTGTCAAATTAGTCTATTTGCGACTCTTTTGCCGCCTGTCACCATCTCAATCCGCCCTATTGTTTCAAAGCGCCCGCGATTGACTGACTGCTGATCTCTTGCGGCTTCTGGGGCATGACTTTGTTTATCTCTGGGATCCGTGATTTTTTGCCGAGCCTCTCACTTGCATTTTGAAGGCATTGATCGCGTCAATCAAGCGCAAATTGACATGAATAGCTGTGACTTATCGGATTCTGTTGTGGCGCGAAAATTTCCCATTTCGATTATCAAATTATGCTTGACATTGAAGTCTTTTTGTCCGCCTAATAATGCGTCTCTTTTCACGGGAGCAATTGCCGAATCCGCAGCTCATAAAAACTCATTATTCGTGATTAATTTCAAGAATGGGATTTCCCGTGTAAATCGAGAGAGAAAAATGTGTGTTGTGCCGCCGATGGAGTCGAATTCGTGGTCAAATATTGGGCAATCTAGCATATTGATCAGAATGCTGCATTAATTAGAGCACAAGTGACTGGGTCAATCGAATAAAATTCACCTCCTGACATTACATCATGCTTCTTTGCGTGTCTAACGTCGGTGACTTCACGTCCGATCTCATTAGGTAAGCAAGAGTGCGTAAAAGAAGTTTAACAGCTGAGAAATGCAGCAATTTTCAAGCATTGCACAAAAGTGAGAGCAAAAAGACTCAACATTATCGTACTTTTGGGCGAAACAATTGCTCTCCTCCTGCCCAGCAGAGGTCGCAGTGGTCGATGGAACTGATCTTGAAATGCTCCGTGTGTCACTGCTTTCGCTCTTCTTTTCTGCCCTTTTTTTTGCCTCGCGAGCAGCTCTTTGAGATCTGCGGCGATCTCATGAATGGAATGGATGTGGAAGAAGGCAGAGAAAAGAGAAGAAAAAGATTCGCCATTCACATCCATCGTGAGCATTGAGGAGAGAAGTTTCTGAGGCATGTGAAAATAAAATTGGCGGTTTAGCGGCAACAAAAGTCACTGATGGACGCATAAATTGGCAAAAATAAATCAATTAAATAGTCATATATCACTGGGAAAGTACAATTTTTCGGCAAAACTAGATTTCAGACCAATTTTTCGCACTGAGATGAAAAATCGGGATAGAATTTAGTCGATTTCGGCAAATTAGCATAAATTAAAGTCTTCCCAAACATTAGAAATACGTCGAAATATGCTAAAATTAATTTCATCTGAATTTCTCGGACCCAAAATAAGTCTTTTTCACAACTAAAAATACTGAAATTAAGAATATTTGCTATTAAGAAAATACATTTCGCATGATTTTAAGTAATTTTTTTTCTTTAAACTGCAAAACTGTTTTCCTATATGATTTTTCATCTTTTCTGCTCAGGAAAATTGCATAAAAATGCTAACTACTAAATTTAATTATATTTAGTAAGAAAACAAGTTTAATTTTGTGAAGAAATCGCTTTGTTTTAAATAGATTTCAGAATCTAATGCAAGTATAATAAAAATTGCTTAATTTAAGTCAAAAATATTTAAAGGAAAAAGTAATATTGAAATAAGTCTCTGGAAACCTTATTTTACTGCAAAATTGTTCTTAAAATTGACTTTAATTTATGTAAATTCATGTTAATTTCAAGACCCTTTTACAAAACTAACAAAAAACAAATAATTTCTCTGAGTGCATATTGAATGGATCACGAGCTGGCGATCTTTTGCTCGCGATCGTTGATCTCTCTGGCGACGCTCTTCCCAAAAGTGGGTGGGAAATGGACCTCAATCTCAGCTGAAATTTCTAGTTTCTCAATTTCTGAAAGCCTGGGAATCCGAAATCATGATCTCTCGAGTCTCATTCCAGCAAATTACAGAGTGTGAATGCACTATATTAAATGTATTCGCAATTAAATTGATAAATTACTGATCATTTCTCAGGACTTCCTTCTGCGGGCCCTTTTTTTCTGACGGTGTCCATTTTACGATCTCGCGCGGGATTTCGTCCCTCAGGTGCGTAATAATAGAAATTTCTCTGCTGTGGAAGCCGTCTTTTTTGCCGCTCCTTCCCGAGATGCCTTCTCGGTGTCCGTTTGCGAAACGAATTCATCGGAGATGCGATAGGGTGTCATTAAGTGGAATCACAAACTCAAATATCAATTTCAGACGGCTCTTGATGGGTTTCCTCCCGGAGGGAGAAGAAGTGAAATGTTTACGG